ACTGTTGGCGTTATATTCTGAGCGGCGTACATTTCATATGGGTAAAAATATAGAATAGTTGGATTTATATATCATAATAGAACCCACTCGGACCAAGCTTTACTTTGTTCTACTCTTCTTCTTTGGTGTCGCTTTTGGTAACTTGCCCTCTGCTTCAAGTTGTTGCATCTTTGCCTCATGTTCACCTAGTATGTTGTAAATTTCCCATGTCCTTTTTGCCTTTGGGCTCTGGTCGCCCAACTCAGGTAACCTATATCCTAGAAAGATTTTGTCATAGTTTGTATTTGAGTCTTCGCGTATTGTTTGCATGACTCTTTCCTGAGTTTCCGGTTCAAGCTCTTCAAACAGAGCTTGTCCATATGGAATAAGCTCGTTTCCAAATATATGTTTTTGTAGCCATTCTGGTTTTCTTTCCATGTTACCAACAATATCTTTTGTGAATGGGAAAGCTTTTACCCAATGTTTCAGTCTTGCGTCATTTATTTCTGTAGTTGGTTTTATTTTGTCAAGGAACATGTTTTTCAATACTAACATTTCATTTGGTACTGTCCATTTGAGTTTTCTTAAATATTCATCCCTTCTCGGTTCATTGTCTGCAAAGTAAGTTTTTATGACATTTTGTAAACTTTCGTTTGCAAGGTCATGTACAATAGGTTCTCTTCCTTCTCTCTCCCTAACTTTCTTTCTAAACTCTTCACCAAATATACCATCTCTATGGTTCTGTGTAGTTCTTTGAGATAAATGTTCTAGAACGTCAGGTGTTATATTTCCATCAGCCATGTTCATTTCATACTGGTCCAAAATATCTGCATCTTTCATATCTTTCAATGGCATTAAAGCCGCGCTGAAAATACCAGCTACATCTGGTTCACCATTCACTTCCATTGCGTCTACAACTTCTTGGAATTGTGGTTGTAAGTTTATGAACCACCTATCCGGATTAGCTTTATGACCCCATCTCATTGTAGTTCCATCGTCTGCAGAAACAAAAGTAGGTTTGTTTCCATATTGGCTAGGTTCTGAATGAACTTTAAACAATGTTTCATTTCTATATGTTTTGTTGAAATTTAACCTTTTATTTTCACCGAGTTCATCCAAAGATTGAACGTTATATGCTCGTAAGTAAAAAGGATTGTTGTATTTGCGTACATTTTCTTTCAGTACTTCCATTCTATGCTGGATATTTTCATCTGATGTTGGAGTCTTTTGTATGTCGGCGAACATTTTTCGATATTCTTCTACTATGTCAGCCGAATTTTTCTTAGACTCTTGGAAAGATTCCATATTCTCCGCATACACTTGTTGAGGGTCAAGATTTTTCGGCTGTTCCAAATCTTCATCTAGTTCTGTGAAGTTAGTTTCCAAAGGAGGAACTTGTTCGTTTCCTTCAGGCTCTTCTAGCTGTTGTTGCTGAACTATTTCTTCCATGTCTGGTTGTATCTGAACTTCTTCCTGTGGAGTTTCTTGTACCTCATCTGCTGGCATTTCATATATTCCGAGACCGTTTTTAAAAAGTTCCCTATCTAAGTCATCCGGACTCATAAACCTTTCTTCTTTCGTTCCGTCTCTATTTTTTACGCGTTTCATGAAGAGAGTTGAATTATCATTTAGCTCTGACACCAAATATCTAGGAGTAAATTCATTCATGTCATTTGGATGATATGCTATTAAATCATATCCCTTAGCGAGCTTGTATTTTCCAGGTTTGAAATTATATCCCATTTGGTGCTGAACCATAAAGCTAAATAGGTTCGGGTCAGTATTTCCTTCCTTGAACTTTCTAATAGCTTCTTTATATCTGTCACTAAAGTCAAGAGTATCTGGGTAACCATAATTTTCCTTAAGCATTTTTAAGAATTCTTGGTTTCCTTGTTCTCTACTTCTTTTATGTCCTTGCTCTGTTTGTGGTTGTTGTTGTGCAGGGTTTTGAACTGTTGGTTGTTGTGCTGGATTTTGAACTGTTGGTTGTGGTGCAGTGTTTTGAACTGTTGGTTGTGGTGCAGTGTTTTGAACTGTTGGTTGTTGTGTTGGTTGTTGTGTTGGTTTTGGTGCATGCCTGTGTCTGTGTCCATGTGACGATGTAAATGTTTTAGGTAGTCCTGGTGCAGGTGCTTCTCTTGGAGGGTTTGGTGGTATATAAGTTCCACCAGCTGGCACATATGTTCCATCTGCAGCATAATGTCCTACCTGACTTTTCGTTTTTAAGAAAGCATTTACTAGGTCTGTTTTGGTCTGTTGTAACTCTTTTTCTTGACTTTCCACAACAGTTGCTCTAACGGCGTCATAGGCACTTTGAACTGCCTGTCTCGTTGCTGCATCTGTTATTTTCGTCATATTTTGTGCTACTTCTCTTAACTCGTTGTCGAAACCTTCAGACTTCAGTTTCTTTCCAGATGAGAAGTCGTTCACTAGTTTCACCTTACTATGAAGAGCTTCGAAGGCGTTCTTAAAGTCAGCATTCATTAAAGCTTCATTTGAACTGTCTTCATCCGCTTGTATTTTTGTCCTTATTGACCCTATAAGTTGGGCTGCTTTAGCGTTGGCTTGGGCATCTAACCAGTCATTATTAGCTTTTATATATTCTGCGCTTTTCATTGCCTTTTGCATGGCTGCGTCGTTATTTTTACTTTCTTGTGCTAAGTTTTCATACTGTACGGTTTGGTTTTGCAACTGTAAAAGTTTTTCTGCCTTTACATTTGCTTCAACTTCTTTTTTATACTCATCGCTATCCATATATGTCTTCAGGGCTTTTTGTTTTATTTCTTCATCTTTCAGTACTTTATATTGAGTAGTATGGTTTTTCAAATTTATAACATCTTGTTCCATTTTTGCTACTTCTGCTGCTTTTTCTGACACTTTTTTTGCATATTCCTCTGTACTTAGTTCTTTCAGTTGTTCTTCTTTCTTCTTTTTCTCTACGTTTAACTCATTTAGTTTCTTTGTGTGTCTGTCATATTCTAGTTTCTTTTCGTTTTCACTTATTTGTTTCTGTATGTCTATGTTTGACTTTTTGACATCTGTTATTTGATTTTTGAGTGAACTCAAATTCATTTGACTTTGAGGGTTATAAGCTGTTCCGTCTGCAGCTCCACCATAGCCTGCCATTTTCGCTAAAAGTGCCGCTCTTAAACCTCCACTCTGTGCACCAATAACTCGGTTTAAAAGCATAGGGTTGCTTGACATTTGTTGCAGCATAGTGGGGTCATTCATAATTTGTTGTTGCAACTGTTGTTGTGGTGTTAGTTTTACTATTGGATGTTTCAATGCTCCCTTCCTCTTACGTATATTCTTACGTAGCTTACGTGGCATTTTAAGTGAAGTAAAAAACGGTTTTTGACAGATGTTTATATGACACTATTTGTTCAGCTCAAAAAACTACTCGGTCAAAGTGTTGTCGGTTTTGTAAAATAACCGTCCTATCTCCGTGCCTATGACGAAGAAATCATGACAAATTCAAGAGGGTAGAAAAGAGGTTAGAAAAGAGGTTAGATCTAACCTTCTACCCTAAACATTATTTTTGGGTCATTTACACTCATTACGAAGAAATCTTGACAAAACATTTACGAAGAAATCTTGACAAAACATTTACGAAGAAATCTTGACAAAACATTTACGAAGAAATCTTGACAAAACATTTACGAAGAAGTCATGACAAAACATTTACGATGAAATCATGACAAAACATTTACGAAGAAATCTTGACAAAACATTTACGAAGAAGTCTTGACAAAACATTTACGAAGAAATCTTGACAAAACATTTACGAAGAAATCTTGACAAAACATTTACGAAGAAGTCATGACAAAACATTTACGATGAAATCATGACAAAACATTTACGAAGAAATCTTGACAAAACATTTACGAAGAAGTCTTGACAAAACATTTACGAAGAAGTCTTGACAAAACATTTACGAAGAAGTCTTGACAAAACATTTACGAAGAAGTCTTGACAAAACATTTACGAAGAAGTCTTGACAAAACATGAAAACATATATAATTTGTGAAAAAGCGACACAAAAAGTGTCACCGGCTGGGGTTCGGTCCTCCTCTTGGGTCTTGGGCAAAATTTCTTATGGGCTAGAGGGCACAAAGTGCCCGGAAGGCCATCCCAAGAAAAAAAAAAAAACTTCATTATACTCATCAACTTCAGGGCTAGAAGGCACGAAGTGCCTGGAAGCCCCACTACCTTTTTTTTTTTTTTTTTTTTTTTTTTTTTTTTTTTTTTTTTTTTTTTTTTATTTATAAAGTTCAAATCGATTTTTTCAAAAGACAATTTCGCTTTCATTTCTGAAAGTAAAAAAATTCATTGATCCCGAATGGAAATCATATTTATTTCTTTACATAGTATATAATGCCAAATCATTGAGTGTATTGTATTAGTTTTCCAATTCCGTAATTAGCTTTTCAAGACCAATTTTCTGCTACCTGTGGGCTTTACACATGTTTCATCTAGTAATCACAAATTCTCCTCTACTTGGTATTCTATTATTCGAATTCACATTCATAATTTTGTAACTATGTTATTTAGCTCAGACTACTTGATTTCCTTCATTAAATTTAGTATTTTACTGGTTCTCACAGAGATTACAATTATTTTATTCATGAAATAAAATAAGATCGTGATAATAGATAATAATTTCTTTCTTAACTATGTTTTGATATAAATTCTAGTATGGCTAGGATATGATAACTTAGAATCGGAAACGCAGAATGATAAAATTTTACATCTGAGATCTCATCGAGGAAAACCTTCTCAGCGTTTCTTTATTCTGATACAAACTCACCATTAACACATCATAGATAACTAAATAATAAGAAATCGTAATATTTGCTCCTAAAAATCAAAGAAAAAATCCTCGAAAATTATATGTTACATATTTTGCAAACATAATATTAATCACTATAGTCTCAAGTATTGAAAAATCTAACCCATAGTAGTTCTTAATAGATAGGAATGGAAGAAGCCTAAATTTAGAAAAGTGACAATTTGTTTTTATTATGGATGATTTTGTACCTGAAGAGCATCTTCCCATTTACTCACTTATAGAACATTTATGGATCATTGATGAAATTGATATCAACGATATCCTTAAAGAGATCGAATCAATGAAATCATTAAATTTAATTTCCGATAGAGCCTTGTTGCAAATACTTGATTGTATTAGTAACGAGCGTCCAAAATTTTTACCCATTATTTTTGATCTCTTCCACAGATATTTCCAAGACAAACCTCCAAAAATCACTCCAGACTTTCTTTTTGTATCTGACAGCTTCAAATCGATATTGATTCAAAGATATGATCTTCAACTCCCTATTCCATTTATATTCTTTGGCAAAGATGAAGATGAAATTCTATCTATTTATCCCAAAAACACTATGAAATATGCTACTCTTCATGATGACATTGGTTTGCTTGTTGATTTGATCGAAAAAAAGCCAAAAGATGCTGAAAAACTTATCGATTTATGTGCTCAATATGGCTCCATCCATTGCTTCAAGTATCTTTATATGAATGGTCATACTCCAACATTAACGACCATGGAACTTTCATTCATTGGAAACAATTTTGAAATCATAAACATTTTGGAACAAAAATTCACTGTGACACAGATCTGCATGGACAATGCAGTCTTCTCACATAACAATGAATTAGCTGAATACATGATGTCCAAGTATGGAATGAGTTATTCATGGCATAGCTGCTTATGCGGTTATAATTTAAGTATGTTTTACCAAAAATTGTCAGAAGTTTGTGATGCGAATGAATTAGATCATAAAGGTATTTCTGCTTTGTATTCTGCTGCACAAAGCTGCTTAATACCATTATGCGCGTACTTACTTGATAAAGGTGCTGATGTGAATTGTAGAAATGCTTCAGGAGAAACTCCAGTATTTGCTGCAGTTTCTTATGACAACAATGAAATGTTCGATTACTTGATATCAAAGAATTGCGATTGCAACACAATGACCAAAAATGGGATATCATGTTTGATGATAGCATCATATGATTCATCTTTAGAATTAATAAAGAAACTCGTTGAACATGGAGCTGATACAGAATTAAGGGATTTAGATGGAAGTACTCCTTTGATGATCGCTGCTAGATTTGATAAGCCATTATCAGTTAAGTTACTACTAGATCTTGGAGCAGATGTCAGTAAGGAAGATGACAGCCATAGGACGGCCTTTAATCTTGCTTGCAATTTTGATTCAACAAAATCTGCAGCTGTTATTGCTGATTTCCTATCCAAAAAGAAGTAATTTTTCCTATATTGTTGATTATAATAAAAATAGACTGTTTTATTTTTACATTGATAATTCGTTTTTCATTTTTCAATTCTAATGTAACCTGAAATCGCAGATTCACCACATATCAGCTTTGATTCTTGTATTATCGACGAAAGTCCTTTGAGAGCAATAACTGTTTTTTTTATAGGAAGTTTGAAAAATTAACAAAGGGAACAAGATATGATTATTTTTTAATTTTAAAACCTTTCATATGTTTGTTGATAACAAGTAAATGTCAGAAAGCGAATTGATATGTAACTCATTAGGCTTCAAAATTAAACAAAAATTACAAACTATAAATAATCATGTTTGCCGTTTGAATTGAAAATTTGACCAAAACTTCTGACCGAAAAAGTATTCAAAAAATCATTGAAAGAAAATTGAATCGAAATATTCCTCTTTGATAATTTATCGATATATTGCTCTATTGAAAATGACTATATCTTCTTCTTTGTGACATGATTGAATTCAAAACTGTTTTCTTCAGTTTTAGAAAGCAAAAAATAGTTAGGAGAGAATGCTATTGTTCTATTTTCTATTAAATAGCTGTAGAGCTGCTTCTAGCACATTAGACTCAACTTCAGAACAAATCATTGCAAGTAGCACAAATTGTGTTTGGATTATCATCGTTATGTTTAGTTTGATCAATTTTTATTTCAAAAAGTTTTCTCTATCACTTACTATCAATGCAATTCTCACAACATTTTCTTCTTTTGTGTTCCGTTACTTGTTATTCAGCGTTGCTTTTAAAGAAGGACAGAATGCAATTACTTTTGCAGATGCGACACTTTGCGCACTCTCATGCATCATCTCCCTCGGATGCTTCAATGGCGTTGTCAAGCTCTTCCATTACATCCTTTACGGAATTCTTTTTGCTGCTACTTACACTTTAGTCCATTGGTTAGTAATTGAAGGAGATGTCATCAAAAATGTCATTGACACAGGCCATGCTATCGAAGTTCACCTTTTTGCTGCATCTTTCGGACTCGGTACAGCAATTGTTGTCAGAGAAAAGCGTATTGTCGGCACAACATTTGAAAATGCCGTTGATAGCCACCACTGGGTTCTTTTTGCAACATTAATCATTGCATTCCTTTGGCAAAAGTACACAACAATTTATCTTACAATAACAGGCGTCGCATCTTCAAAGGCCTCAACAGCTGTAGTAATGGCTGTTTGTGGATCTTCAATTGTTTCTCTCGTATTTGAGCACTTTGTTCAGAAGAAGATAGATATTTATCGTTTTGCAAACAGTATTTTTGTAGGATGCATTGGTATTGGTTGCTCTGTACTCATTGTTGGTCCTTGGGGTGCACTTCTTGTTGGCGCAATTTGCGGTCTTGCCAATACATTTTTGATGACACCGTTTAGCAAATTTATTGAGTATAAAATTGGAGCAGCGGATTTACTTTCAGTCTCAGGAGTTAACGGAATTAGCGCCTGGATTGCCATTTTCGTTGGATTAATCTCTGCTTACATCAAAAAGCAAAAAGGCGTTTAGATTCTTGTTGGTGGCTTGATTACTCTTGGCGTTGGTCTTGTTTGTGGAGCTGTTACAGGAGCTATCATTTTAATCACAAAATGTGGTGAAATTCCAAATGCTGAATTCATGAATGATGCAGCTTTCTTTGATATTAAAGATCCAGAAAATGATGATAAGTCAAAAGCAATGGATGAATTGTAATTTTTCTTATAATCAAAAAAATAAAAATAACAAAACAATAATTTCCTAACATTTTCCTCTCCTTTTTTTGGATAACAATATAAAAACAATTGAAAAGATTATATAAAATATATTTTTTGAAATTAGAAGCCAAATGAATAAGTAATAGAAGTTCTATCCTTTGTAACAGCTTCTTCTATTTGATCTCTAAGATTTGTATATGCTTCAATGAGATTTATTTTTGTTTCCGCATCAAAATCTGATTCTGAAACGACTTCGACAAACCTGATTTGAGCATCAGATATATCACGTTTCCTTTGCTCAAGGATTGATGTAATGGCAGCATTGTATTGCGATCTCTTTAATAATAAGTCTGCTTTGAAATCTGATAAAAGATTTTGATTTTCTTCAACATGCCTAGCGTAACATGCTTGGAACTTCTTCATGTACTCTTGATTTATTGCATTTTTCTTTTGTATATAAATTTTTTGGCTTAAATTGAATGACAATTCGCTACTTTCATCCTCCTCTTCTATGTCTTTTGATATTAATAGATGTGTTGTAAGTTCTGTCTTAAGATCTTTATTAATTGTCGAATTGATTTTCTCTATATCGCTATCCCAGTTCTTTTTTAACTGTGATAGTTCGTTTTTGTGTTTTCTTCTCATCTGTCGTAATTTGTTTTGAAATTCCTCGTTCTTAGTATTTTTTAGGTTGTTATACTGTTTATTTATCTTCTTATGGAGTTTTATATATCTTGCATTAACCTCTTCACGAAGGACTGATAGATAGTCGTTTAAGAATTCCTTTTCTGTGAGTAGATTCTGTCTTTTATTGAGCTGTTTCATTATTGACAAAATCTTCAGTTTTTTTTTTTGTATCGAAAACAATTTTATTCAGTAATGATTTACATGTAAATTTCACACTAAAACTTATTTTCAATAGACAGGTTAGCATTCAATTTTTTAATTTCTAAATTTTGGTGTACGATAAGATACAAACTCATTTCAGTTGAGAACATTTGAATTCTGATACCGTAAAAGTGCCAATATATCGTTTTTTTCGCTTTGATTTTCCTCTCAATTCTCTGTCTCATTGAGCCCTGGTGGCTTTATAATGATGGCTCAAAATATTCTGGTATCGCTGGAGAAGATATTTCATGGAGTGAATCAGACAATATCTACAATTTAACAGGAAATGGTATCAGAATCGTTGCTATGGGAGATGGAGCACATATGCATCATGAAGCATACAAAGGTAGGATACTAGATAATGAATTTATCAATGGATTTGATGGTTCACATATCGAACGTCCTCCAAAATCAGTATTGTTAGACAATATCTCAGAATCGTCATTACTTTTAGCTGCAGGTAAATACGATTATTGCAATTCAAGAGGAATCGCTCCAGGAGCAAAAGTTGGCTCATATTATTTTTTCGATAACTCAGACCACACAGAAGATTTGACATATTTAATCTGTTACAGATCTGACAAATGGGATATCTCAATCCTTACATATCAAAATGCAGCATGTTCTGGAAGAAATTGTAAATATTTCCAGCCAACGGAGTTTCATGTTAGCATTGCTTCGAAATGCCTTTACCATTCATCAAACCCAAAGATTATCGTTGTTCCTATACCTACAGAATCAGCTACTGACGTAATTTTCGCTCCACCCGCTGGTTGGCCACTAATTTTCACAATTGCAGGTGTTACTAACCGCGGCATGCCATTAAACCATGCTGCAGAGGGCACTGGCATTTTCATGGCTGCTCCTGTTGCCGGAATTGCTCCAATTTCAGGCGCAGACGCAAAGAACCCAACAGAATGCATCGAAAACTTCACATCTCCTAATGCAAGTGCAGCTATATTCGCTGGTGGTCTTGCAATTCTCAAAGAAGCAAATCCTAATCTCAACCTTACAGATTTATTCTTTATTACAGCTATGACAGCAGACAAAGTCTGTCCAGAATCACCTCTATGGTCCAAGAACAGTTTTGGCCTCTGGTTCAATCGAAAAGTCGGCTTTGGCAGATTAAATCTTAATAAGTCAGTCGAACTTGCCAGAAACTGGACATCATTAGGTGGATTCACCAAAAAGACAGGCATGTTATCCAATATTAACCATATTCTTGGCAACGAAACAGAATCATTCCGAATTCCAATCAACGCTTCCGAAAACGATACCGTTCTATTTGTAAATCTCCAGATTTCAGGTGTCAAACTTGCATTCGGTTCCTTGGTACCACACCTCATCTCTCCTAGTGGTACAAAGTGCGAAATGAAGCTCTTAACATATGGATCGAGATATTTGAACATCACAAATGTCACACTGCCATCATACATGTTTCTTGGCGAAAAATTGAATGGAAACTGGACAGTTGAATTCCGTAGTGTTGATGATTCACACAAAGGTGTTTTGTTACATGTTGCATTACAAATATATTACACAAGTAACAGACCACAACATTCTCCACGACAGAAAACAAATGGTCCTAATCCATACCAACCATTTAATTCCTCATCATTTGTTTTCTCTGAGACAAAATCAGTTATGAATGCTACACATCCATGGAAAACTACATTCACATCAACGAGAAACATCAATGAATCATCACATATCCTGTGTTATTTACAAGGAACACAAAATATCTCACGAACTAAAGTCCAATGTGATTTTGTAGACAACAAAGAAATCCATCTTGATTATGTTCCATCAGTCTACAGAACAGGACTTCCAATGAATTTTGTTGTTGAATCTCTTGATCCAGATTTCCATTTCTCATCATTTCTTCCTATAGAATATATCAATGCATTTGACGATAAACCAGGAATTATCTCATTCGAAGCGAAAGAAGATGGAAATTGCAATTTCGATATTGATAGTCCTCTTTCACTCATTATTGATAACAAAACTATTTCAGCCAATCATCGATGTATCCTTGTTAAATACTCACTTGATTTCAATGATACAATTGATGATGGATACTCCGCATCATTGACTGCTTCCATTATTAACTATGACTCTCTTGTTGTTCTGAATCGAACATTTTCTCGAAATGTCGGTTACTTCAAGTGGAGTTCTGTTGTTCCAGACAGCAAAAAGTTCATTTTTCAGCTCTCAGCATCGTCAGACAATCGAAATATGAACTATTTCAAATCAATCACATTAGATATTTTTATTGAACCTCATGAAGGACGTTATTCACCACCTCCTTCTAGTTTCCCAATCTGGAACATGCTTTTGATTATGACAATGCTCTTGACTCTCACTGCTTTAGTTATTAAAGGTCTTTACATCAACTTGTATCTCACTGAATACGAAAACATCCAACGAAACGAAATCAGTATCATTTTTACTGATACACGAAAACCAGAAAAAGAGAAAGAGAAAAATAAAGAGAAAGAAAAAAGGAAAACAAAGAAATTTAAGTTTAGCTGGCGAAAGAAAGAAGTTTCGAGTGAATCATCAATGAATATCCCTCTAGTAATATAATATATTTTGTTTGTTTGTAAAATTTTATAATATTTATATGAAAATATATTGGGGGGCATTATCATTTCTGTCAAGCATCTGAATTATTGAACTATAACTCTATTTCTATTAATTTGGGAGCCTCTCATTTTGATGAATACAACAATAACTCCCTGTGCATGATATCATTATATTTCTAACTTCAGATTGTTTCATTTTTTGAGAATTTCGAGCCAAATTTTGTTAGCGAAGTCATTAACTAAAACTCTTCATTTTATTTTCACCAAAATTTCCTAATAGATGCATTTCAATTCAAGTAGACATCATTGCAACGCAATCTCATTAATTTATCTTTTTAGGATGACCATGAAAATAAAAAATTATCATTGTCTTCTGAGGAAAGTGACAAATTTTGTCACTTTTCCAGATGAAAATGATCCTTCAAATATATTTCTATTTCTATAAACTATGTGGATATCACATAGATTTACCATAGTCAAATTTATCCAATTTCGAGCTTCAAAATAGCAACATATACAGTAAATGTAAGGAATTCCATTCTCATGAATAAATAGTGAATTGATGAAGAATGTATTTGTTAATATATATGGTAATTGTATGGGGGTAGATGATTATTTCACATCCAAAAGAAAAAATTAATTTTAAATTTGACTTCGAAATCATTTACGAGATAAAAATAAATAGAAAAATTTAATATGATTTCTAACATAAATTTTATCTTCGTTTTCTTCGTTTTCGTCATTATTTGGAGTGGAAGGACGACATTTATACTTTGATGAATCGTCAACTTCTAATTTAAAAAGAGGGCATTCGTTTTCAAATGAAATATCTGTGTTCTTAAATGTTGGTGATGTTTCTGTTGATTTAATGATATCTGTAGCTGAGTTTTCAAATGTTATTGATTTTGAAAATGCATTAAAAATATATTTAATTTCATTTTTAAGAATACAACAATAACTCATGAAAACATCACAAAAAGAAGAAATCAGATAACCTCTATTTGGACTTTTATTTCTTATATAATTACATGAAGTAACTTTAAATTTTGATGAATAAGAATAAGAAGATCTGTGGGAATTAAAACTATCTAATGATTGATTGTTTTCAACAACATTGACACAAGTGATGTATGAATCAGAGGTAATTTCTTGAACCCAGTAACCTCCACAATCTTCGAAGACTCTATTTTGTGTAATGTTGCATTCATTTATGATACAAAAACCTTGATACATGTCAATTAAAATTCTGCAGTCTTGTTCTGAACTTCCGCAGTTACAAACTGTAGTTTCATTAGCATGATTTTTGTAATTAGGTTGTCGTGAAACAGATATGTAAAATGATGGTCCACCACCTGTATTTGTTGAGTTGATGTATGAATTTTTTGTTTGAACAAATTCGCCTGTGTCGCCAAAGAAGAGAGAACCTCCTCTTTGTGTAGAGGAACAAGAATCGAATTTATTCGTTTCGACATAAGTTTTAACGTTATCATTTGATGAATCAATTCGAACAGCTCCGTTTGGACTTAATTCAAGAAAAAACAGCTGGAAACAATGTATTTTAAGTTGTTATCTCTTGAAAATTGAGAATTGTTATGAAGATGGTCTTCATCATAGCATGATCCTGAGAATACAAATTCCCAGGATATACTAGATATTGGCCGGCCAAATTAAAAACAATTTCATAAAAATAGTCAATAGTCAATTTTTGGTGAACGGAATGTAATACCACAACAGTTGCCTCGCTTAGGTGATTGGTGTTGCAACTTTAACAGTTCTTAGCACTTAAGTTGAATTTTTTCTGAGTTATCAAAATTTATTGCTTGTTTTAGACATTTTTACTCAAATTATCTACTTCCACCTTAACATACTCACTATAGGAACTATAAGCTCTTACAATTTCAATATGGAGTGATTTAAAAGTCAGATTATCATAGATCCAATAAAATTTCAAGGGTATTTTATTGATATTCGACGTACTACAGAAAAACAACGAGTTGCAATTCATGATCATAATATAAAAGTTTACAAACAAACAAAAATAATTAAAATAAGAAAATTAATTTGACATTGCAATATTCACGTATACATCGCCTCCATAGTGAGTATCTATCAGCTTTTTGTACTTCTTAATAAACGTTTCTCTTATTTCCAAGTAACAATCAACTTGTTCCAGTTTTTTCTTTAAGTTTTTGTTGTGTTTCGAGTCTTCGTCTATTTGAAGTAACAGAAGTTTGCATAACGAAGTGAAAGATGAGTAGTGAGGATGGTTTACCGTTGCAATAAATAAAGGTATATAAGAAATAAGTATTTTTTCACATGATTGCTCGTGGTTAAGACATTCAATTGTAAATTTGGCGAATGAGTTAAGTAAAATTGATGAATTTTCAAATTGGATGGCAATTCGTAAAATAATTGGAATTACTTGGCTTTGTAGAAGAATTTTGACGTAATTATCATTTAGCGATATAACTTTTGTAATGAAATTGATGCAGTTTACTATATCTTGGGAAGGTTCTTTAACTGCGTCGATTAATTTCGAAATTGCCATAGGAATGAACATTTCTAGTTTGGGAAGTGACTTTGTATTTACAAGAGATACTATTGCTTCCCATCTTGCACCATCTACGTATGAAGGAGCGTAATGAAAAGTTCTTGAAAGAGAATTTATAACTTCTTGTGTAGAAAATGCATCGACATACTCTTGGTGCATACAAACTGTCGCAACAATCATGTATAAGTTCGCATATTTAATGAAATATTGATCATATTTGTCTGCAACTTTAGAAATGTCGATTTCATCAAGTCTTTTGGCAATTTCATGAGCAAATCCATTTTCTATAAATAGTATTTGTGCTTTTATCGCTTTGGTTGCATTAGAAAAAATATTTTCGTAAAAATTTAAAACTGAAACATTATGAGCGTAGTCAAGGAACGTAAAAACGAGTTGGCTTAAGTTTTTAAATGCCTTTTCTGGACATGTAACAAGAAAATTTGTTGTTAGTGAAGCTAATCTACCGATTATTTGATCTGGCGCTGTAGTTTGGAAGTGCGTTAGTGCAACATCAACAAAAAAATTCATGTCGAGAATCGCAGAAACCATTTCCTCCTGATTTTGGGAACTTAATAAAATAAATGCGCCCATTGACTTCTTATCTAAATCTAGTTTTAATGCCTCATGGAGTAACACACGAATGTGTTGAATAATACTGTTTGTTAGAAAAAAATGTGAACTAATCTTTCACAATTTTACTTCCAGTTCGAAAAGCAATGACAATTGAGTTGTCAGATAGAAAGTCTTCGACTGACATGTCTGGATTGTCTGTCAGTTTAAAAGCAATTTGAGTAGTTATCGGAGGACTATCTAACATTTTTTTTTATTTTTTGTCAGAATAAAAATTTCTTACTCTCAATTTCTTAAATAATCTGTAAACTAATATCTATTTAATTGGCATATGTACTATCAAATGAATATGTTTCGAATGACCAAATAAAGAATAATATTAAAGAGTTTACCTTTTTCTTTATCTTTTTCTAGCTGTAAACGAATGGCATTCCATTCTATTGATATAGCAAATGCATATTTCATTACTATAAATGCTTTTTCTTTTGATGACATGGAAATTGAATCGAATTATGCTAAACTCCAAATGATAATCCTCATTTTGCATGAATAGTATTGAAACATAAACAAAATGTAGCACAGCTCCCAATACGTCAATCCAAATATCAACAAAATGTGTGATTCAGAATTTTAAGAACTGCTATCAGAAGGAAGATATGAAAACATTCGGATAATATCAATAGAGAATTATTGGTTATATTAACTCAACATGAAATATGAAATCTTTACATTTTTCTAATTCTAAACGTACACTAAATGTCTCGCACCTATCAGAGAAGGCTAGAACAATTTCAGGCGAGGCTACAACAAAGTCTTTCACTGGCAGATGATGAGATAGATAGACTCACTCAATATTTAAACTCTGTTCATGCAGAATGTTTGGATATTGAAGATAAATTACACAGATACGAAAATCAATTCGTCCAACATCAGAAAGAACGCTCAGGCAAGAAAATAAAAGAAGAAAGTTTCAAAAATGCAGGATTAGCAAGACTTGAATCAAACTTTAATGCAGAGATTACAAGATTAACAAAGGAACATTCCGAAAAAATGAATCAAATGCGCGACGAATACATCAAAATGCAAAATGAAAATGACGAAAAATCACAAAAGGAAGGAAGCAAGGAAATAAATAAACTCGATTATATTATTTCAAAATTACAAACATTAATTGAAAGAGAAAACAAGAAAATGGAAGGCATAAAAGATAATAATGAAGAAGAGGAAGATACAGAAGATGAAAATGATGATGCAAATACTAAATTAATGAATGAAACGTTGAATCTTCAGAATAAGAAGATAAAATCACTAAAAGCAAGCATTAAACAACGTGAATCTGAAAGATTAGAACTTCTCGAACTCGGTAAAGTACATTTTCAGCAAGCAATGCAAACTCTAGAAACAAATGAAGCAAATCACCTTGCAAAAATGTCAAACTTACGTGAAACACTCGAAAATTTAGATAAAACTTATCAACAGAGGTTTGAAACTATGCGTGCAGAAAATAAAAAAGCAATAATTTCTTCAAAGAAACGATATTTGAAAGCACAAAAGAAATTAAAGCAAATTCAAACCAAAATAGTTGAAACTGAACAGATAGACCAGCAGAAAATAGCCATGTTATCCGAAAAACGCAGTGCTTTGAAATTTAATTTGATGCAAATTAGAAATAAGAATACACCACTTCCATCGCATACAGAGTTACATAATATAGAAAAGCAAATTTCATCGCTTAAACAAATTCTAGCAGAACATGACGCAATTTTAAAGAAGCATAGAGAAGAAAATCATTATTTGAAGCAAGAAATATCAAAGCAAAGACATTTAGCAAGGATTATAAGTCGGAGATCTGCTTTGGGTATATAAGCCCTTATTTTTTTTGTTATTGATTATAAATTTGTTTTGTTCTTTATTAATATAATATTCAACATCTATATTAGCATAACCATATATTCAATACCTTGCACATCTAGCTGAATAATTTTGGATTTTATTTCATATGAATTATCCTGATGAAAACAATTCATACATTAATTTCTAAGAATTTGAATTATTTTCCTTAAAATATTATATAATTCGAGTTAATATTATTATTGATTTATCAAATTCATTCTCTTATATTGATAAAAAGATCTATGTTCAATAATATCCAGACAGATATAATCGGATTTTCCCATCCAATAGATCTTGTTCTTATTCAACCACTCTATTTTGCCATGAATTTTGACAATTTATTCAAATTCTACCGAGGATTTCTATAGCGATAGCTAACATTGTTATCATCCGTTATGGATGGCACATCTTACTCAAGATTGCATAATCCGGTGTCAAAAACATTGAAAACAAATTATCGGAATAAAAAACCTTCGATGTATTTTTTCAGAAAATTTGGCCAATAATGAAAATTTTTATGCTATAAAAGGAAATGCAGCAATATTATATTTTAACAATTTGATATTATCATCACTGAAAATTTTGAATTGAAAGGTTTTGATTTCGATTTTTTGAGAGGAGCATCTATCAAATTCAAAGCTCTCAAAAAATTCATCAAAAAGAAAATGATTTCCACTTTAACTGTACTATCTTTTTCAGAGATGAACCGTCCAGATCCATCCAAGTACAAAATTGATCCTCGCACAGCTTTTAAAGACTGCAAGAGACATGATTGGGTTGAACCAAATCATGGCAGATCAAAACTTGTCAAAATACAAGCTAATGAATCAAGATGCTTTTATGGCAGCTTTCTCCTTAGCAGCAACTCTTCATACACTGTTACAGCAGCTCTTCCAGAAAAGGTCAACAAGACATACACATGGAATTACTCCGAACCAATGAAGAACGCTCTTGCCATTCTTGCTAAGTATAATGAGTCTGGCGAAATTGATTCCCAACCAGTTGCAAAGATCCAATGCACTGACAATACAACTGATTGCTTCATCCAAATTTTACCTGTTAGACCTTCTTTCAACTTGACTAGAAATGTTAATGTTAAGGGTGTAAACACAACCATTAAAGATGTCCAGCAGACAATTGTTAGCACAAAGAAGTCTGGCTCTGAAAAGCTTATCATCCGTAAGAAAGTAAAGAATACATCAAAGAAATCCAAATTAATTGAGAATTATGTTACTGTTGGTTTCTTTGGCTCAGACAATGTTATGGAGTTCAACTTCAACCGCCAAAATGGAACAGGTTTCGTCACATCTCTCGGTCGTAATGACAGAGCTCAATATCCTAGAAACCTTACTGGAACCGTGGGTAAGTCAAGATTAGCTTTCTTCTATCCAGTTCTCAATGAGCGAGAATTGAATAATGGTACAGGACCTCAACCTCCAAAACCTGATCAGAATGGAACACAGCCACAGCCACCAAGACCAGAACAAAATGGAACACAACCACAGCCACCAAGACCAGAACAGAATGGAACACAGCCACAGCCACCAAGACCAGGACAGAATGGAACACAACCTTATCAACCAGGAGATGATCACCATGAGAACCAAGATGACAGGCGCCATGATGATGATAGAGATAATGACAATGGAAGAGAAAGATCTGCTGCCCGTCATACTGATGATGATATTTCTCGCGAAGAAAAAGAATGCGACTACAATTTATCTGTTGAAATTTCCTACTCTGTCTACCAGGAAAAGACAGCTTCTGAAGATGATGATGAAACTACAGTCTGGTTCTTCCCAGAAATATACGCTTCTTTATCTGCAAATGGCGGCGTTTTCACACAAGAAACTATCAATGTTGAGACATCTGAAACAACAACAGACTCTGAAACATCTGGCACAGTCACAAAGAAGAGTAAAGCTGGTTTAATCGCTGGTTTAGTTATTGCTGGTGTTGCAGCAGTTGTTATTGGCGCAATTCTCGCTGTCTTCATTATCCGCAAGAAATCAAAGAAAGATTACTCAACAGAGTTCGAGACAGTTGGTGCAGAGAGTCTCGTTTAAAATCTCATTTCTCCATCTTTTCACATTTTGAATTCTCGAATTAAAAATCTTTAATTTTATTCGACCAACCAGACTAACTTTTTCAGACAGAAAATCTTATGACAAATATTTGTTGAGATAGAAAATATTTAAACATCAAATTTGATTCGACAAGTCCTTCAATAAAAGGACAAATTATATAATAAACTTTTAAAAGTAAAAGGATATTCACCTGATATTTAGAAATGAACCAATAACATTCAAAATTTAATGCAAATTTTGAACATTTTCAAAAAAGAATAAATTGATTAGCTTAAACTAGTCATATTTTCAAGAAAATGTATTAGTCATTACATACATTGAATTTGAGACTTAAAAAATATAGTTGCAAACAAATAACAAAAATAATTTTTTAATTTTGATTCAATTTATACGACAACAAGAGCATCCATCTTCCTCGTTATTATTTTGAGGATTTTCTGTGTCAGGAATTGCTGTATAACTACCATTTCTTTTCTTTGATTTAGATTTTTGAGTTTTACATGAATTTTGATCTTCAATTAAATGATAGCTCAATGGTCCTTGCTTACTTTGTTTAGAAGATGAATTGCAACAGCCTGAATTTATTTCTGCGCGTAATTCTTGGTTTTCGTTCATCAAAAAATTCCTTTCTGTTTCCAAACGACGATTTGCTTCCAACAATCGCGAATTTTCTTGCTTGATTTCATCTATTTCTTGTTTTAATTTATTTTCGTTATTTTCTTTTTCTCTTTGGATTTTTGTGATGTTTTGGTTGATAGTAGCTATCTCATTTGTCTTTTCTCCGATTTGTTGTTGTAGATTTTGATTTTCTTTTTCGAGCTTTTCTTTTTCAGCATGAAAGTTATTTTCCATATCTCTTAAGCTAGTCCTGAGGATTCGGATCTGTTTCGTTTTAGGATCTTCAAATTTGAATAAGTTTCGTAATTCGTCGTCAGTTTTGATAAAATCTTCTGGAGATGTTAAGTATATGTTATCTTTGTTCGTAATGAGATCTTCCATACCATTTTCTCGCAATAATTCTAACATATTTTTGGTTCCATTGTAACATTCATGAATTACTGCATAATGGAGTGGCTGCAGTCCTTCAAAGTTTTTGGAAGCAAGGATTCCCACCTTAAACTTGTCAATAAAGAATTGCAACAATTGGATATTACATGATTCGTCAATTACGCAAAGATGAACACAGGTATTACCGTTTTCATCGAGGAAAAGGAATAAGTCTGGATATTCTTGTACTAAATACGTGACGATTTTGATACTATTATTTATTACTGCGTATTGAAAATAATTTAGATTTGAATCTTCTGGACATGAAAGTATGACAGTATCTAGATCTTCCAAGTCTAAAAATTCCTCCAAATCATCAGCTTCTATTATTCTTAGAACATTATCTTCTTCAGTCATTTTTTTTATGTTGGAAAAAAATTTTATCCATAGAATGAAAGCTCTGGAAATGGCTTACACACAGTTAACTATTAGATACCACATGAAATTGGCTCAAGCTCCTTAATAATGCAAAACTTATCTCCAAAGATGAGAAGCATACATAAAAAATTTGATAGCCAATATTACTAAATAATGAATTAATCAATGATAAACTAGAAATGATATCCATAATTGAAACAAACATTGAATTTGATGCTAATGTTAAGCATTTATTCCATAACATTATCATTTTTATATCTTTCAATAGCATTATTTTCTTATGATATTAAAAACAATCTTCAATTTCATCAAATAAAAATCAACATCATTGCAGATGTTATTTCAGACAATAACTTAAAATGATAAACATTAAAAATCATCATTCAGTATAAAAATAGCTATTTATTTTTAGATAGGTAGATAATAAGATGAATATTTTTCAAAAAACCGCAAAAATAACATTATTTATTACAAACGTTATTCCGAGTTCAATAATATATATTACCGTTCTAATATAATTAGAGCTCAGCCTGAGCTTCATCACTGCTATCCTTCTTTGAAGAAGAATCGAGTTCCTTACTGTCATCTTCTTCACGTGGGCCAAGGCAGCAGCAGAGCACCGAAGTTATCTTTTCACCAACAGAAGCAATGTTGTTGAATGTTGTTGTTCCGAGCATCATAACAATGAAACCAACAGCTTCCAAGATAGACCAAAGGTGGAATCCTTCACCGTATTCGCCATGTGTTGCGTAGTAAACAATTGCCATTGTAATCCAAACGACGATTGTGACAGAAGCAGAGATGAATGTTCTTGCAATAGCAGAAGCCATCTTTGCGTAAAGGAAGGAAGACCAGTTGAAGAAAGCAATTGAGAAGAGAGTGATGATTTGAAGAATAAGAACTTGCTTGGTGTGGACTGTGACGTAAAGAGCGTTTCTCCAGTTTTCAAGTGATCCATGATCGCTTCCCTTGATAGCATTGACAACAGGAAGTGCAATGCAAAGAGAAAGGATTGATCCAGCAAGGCCTTCAGAACCGACAAGGAAGAGTGGTGGAATTGGGGAAATGATACCCTTAAGAAGCTTCTCTTCAAAGACAAATTGAATTGCTGAGAAGATCTGTCCGAGAAGAGTCAAAGCAATGCCAAGAAGAGCATTTGCTGGGAACTTTGGACCACCACTTGTCATTGTATCCTGGCCAATGGCTGAACCACCAACCATGCAGAGACCAAGAAGGGCGAAGATAACGCCAGTAACTTGCCATCTGTTTGGTCTGCGGTGAAGGAAGATCCAAGAAAGAAGCATTGTGAAAACAATAACGAAGCCTCTGAGAATCTGAATAACAGAAGCATCACAGTAAACGAGACCAATGCCCATGAATGTTGTACCAAGTAAGTCGCATGCTGAGAAGAGGAAAATGTAAAGAGGATAAATCCAATTGAGTCCACCTGTTGGGTTATGAATAGCCTCTTCACGTGTAACAAATGTAATCTTTACCTTGGATGCATCGAATGTCTTCTTTTCCTCTTGATCAATTGCTTCTGAGATTTCCTCTTCATCAACTTTCTTTTGTGTGCATCTGTAGTATAATGCGCATAGTAAATATATAATCATGCAGAAGAACTCTGCAAGGAACATGATGAAGGTGCATAACCATGCTTTATCGAACTTTTCTGTTCCTCCATCAATGTTAATACAGTCTGTTTGATACATAACTTTACGAGTAGTTGTATCTATAGTACCGGTTGCAAGCATGATACTTGCGACAACTATCTGTCTCCAACTGCAACTCATCTAGATGAAAAATGAAATAAAATCATGTCAGTTGAAATTTTGAGAGGAAGTGTGGCCGTCATTTTTTCCATTGAGTTTTTTGAATGAAATCAAAATCATGTCATAAAATCATAAAATCTCTATGTTAAAAGTATTCATAGTATGTATAATACCAAATTACAATCTCCATCACTTTCAACCTTGATTTTGTTATGAATTCTCTATTCAATTTTGAACTTTTAGTCTAAAGTTATATACACTTTATACTATGCTTGTAATAAACAGAAATTCATCAAAAGTGACAACTCTCAATTTTTTGACATTTGTAAATTCTAAATTGAATGAGAAAAATGAAATAATACTAAGCATAATACAATATTCTAGATTTAATTATAATTAGGAAAAAGTTTGTTTTGAGAGTACTTTTCATAGGCATATAGAATGAAATCTTCTGAAAAATAATATCACATAAACTCATATTATTTTCTAATATATAACTATTTTATATAAAAATCAAATTCAATGATCTTAAAAGCGAAGGATAAACCTCAAAATTTACGAATATAATGAGTGGGAATATAATGCTTATCTATCATAAAACCATATGAAATATCAATTTTTGCTTTACGCCTAATTTTTGACGACAATTAGCAAAAAATGTTAAATGTTAACACTCAGTCCATTTGAATATGAAAAATAAAATTGACTTTGATTAAATGTTTTTATTTATCATGCAATTCTTCTTGCGACCAAAGATTTGAATAAAAGTTCAAAAAATAAGATAGCTTAAAAAATAATATACGGTAGTGTTTACTAATAGATGAATAGTATATAAATTCTATTAAAATGGATTTGATCCAAAAAAATATATAAAATTTGATCATAAATAAACTCTTCGTTTTTGAATTTTGTCACGATGGGTTTAAAGTATATTAGACACATGTATTGATATTACTATTTTTATATATTTTGAGAGAAAATCCCTAAAAAGTAAGAAAATCTAAGACGGTTTGAGAAAATATATAAACTATTGAAAATTTGAATTAAACTTCTAATTTGGAAAAAAGAAATTTGGAAAGAAGAAAATTCAAAAATCGAGATTTAGACTCAGCATCAAATGGAGAACAAAATGTTTCTTCATATAAAGGAAAAAAATTTTCTTGAGAAGAAATAGAGTTTTTAAAATTTTATTGTATGTAATGAAATAAACAAATATTAAAATTATTTTTTGATAACAAGAAAATTCCCAACAGAAAATATTTGAGACAAAGAAAAAAGAAAATTGAAAAATATTACTCTTCTTTATATTTCATGAGAGTTTAAATTTATTCTCATAAAATTGACAATTTTATACGTTTAGATGAAAATAAGTGATTTTGCTTGAAATAAAAGTTATTGTTTGCTTACAGCTATCAAATAGATTTTTGCTATTTTGATTAAAATTTGTTAATCAAATTAATAAATTTTTTCAAAATATCTTAAATATCTGGATCACTCACTGATACAATGAATTGAACGATAAAAATAATACAAACTCAAATAAGTTTCCTGTTTTTCAACTAAAAAAAATTATGCAAATTAAATTAAACTAAATTGTTTATTCAAATATAAAACAAAGATGAAGTAATTACAGTTATCATAAACTTTATGAATAACTCTGTATTTGGTTCAGATTTTCTTAAAAATATTTTTATTAATATCGATAAGAATACGTTTACCTACTGTCACAACATATCGATAAACAAGAGTAGAGTGATTTTTATCATCGAAACTTTTTAAAAGCTGTAAGCTGGAAGTAAAAATCTTGTTTTTTCTGAGTTAGTTGTAGAACTATTGATGTACGAGTTATCATTGTGATGTAGAAGGATGTCAATGTACTGACTGAAGGATATGAAGTGAATTGAATTTCATTGAATTTCAATTTGATCAAAATTTGTTGAAATGATATGAATGTGTCAACATCTGTATCACTCTCTTTCACTCCTTCCCTATTTTTTCGAGAACGAAGCTAGCTCAGCTTTCGCTGAGCGAATTGACACTTTTGATGCCCTAAACGTACATATTCTCAAATTTATCGAAAAAATTATACCACCCAAACTAGTATATTCTTATTTTAAATATGATATTATCCTTAGAAATCACACTAGAATATATTTAAATCAACTTTTAAAAAAGTTCGAATCCTGCGCGTCTCACTTTTTAAATTTTCCAAAAGGAAAATTATATTCTCCTAAAATGAAAACAATTTTCCGAATTGACATCCTTACAAGCAAATTGAATTACGATGTCAGAAAATTTGATCAAATTCAATGTGTAATTCTGAATGAGTCTTGCAATTAAAAAAGTTTTTAGAATCTTGAAATATGGCCGAAATATAGCTATTGTTTGCAGCCATAAAAGATTTTTTATAGAAAATTCTTAAGGATTTTTAAGGTATTCAAACTTAGTTATTTGTTCAGTTTTCCATTCAATTTTTTTTATCTAAAATTTGTCATTTACGATTACATCATTAATCTGTTTTTAGATTACATACGATGAGTAGATTCTATATTTATAATAATCAGGAAAACTACGAACAAGCACTTAATTTAGATCATTACACACGATACTCATAAAAGCTCATATCGACCGAATAGTTATATTTAGATGTGTTTATTATTGATATTATTCACAGTTTTTCCTATTTGCTAAAAGATATGTTGTTATTCAATTTTGGAAACTGCACCTTTTTCCATAAGGTACCTCTCAATTTCCTTAAATCCAAGATTTCTCGCAGCATTTAGCGGCAATTTGAAGAATTCAATAAAATTAATATAAAGAATCTTTTTTCATTAAAGAATAATAAGAATTTCATGAATTATGATAAATAACTGCATGATAATTACGAAGGATATCGTAATGATAGTTAAAATTAATTACTATTGTATTATAAAATTATAATTAATGCTTAAAATCCTGTATTTTCCATTCACGTCTGCACCATTATCGACTAGTTCCATCACCATATCTAGTTCATTGTTTTCCACTGCTAGGTAAAGTGGAGTTTTATGAATAATTAAAATTAACTAAGTGAACTTCATGAATTTACTATATAGAACAATGTGGGTGCAATAATGAACGTGGTGAGATGGATGAAGGATTCTGTAATGAATGAAAAATAATGAACTTCGTAAATTTCATAATTGTTAAAATTAATTTCATTCAAAAAAATTGAATTGCATCAGAAAAAATTGAGAACTCTTCCGTTTTCTGAATCATGTCCTTTTACGATCAAGTAGCGAACTAATTCTGGTATATCATTTTCCACGGCGAAGTACAAAAAGGAAGACCTTCCTAAATTTAGATAACTCTTTTCATTGATGTCATAACCGTTTTCGATGAAAAAAATTGATGCCCTCAAGTTGTGCTTATAGATGCATTTAGAGGGAAATAGACCCTCGCACACTGAATTTTCAAGTATCCAATCGGAGATCTCATCGTGATGATATTCAATGGCTGATTCAAGGGAAGAATTGAAAGAAAAATTTTTTTGAGAGAGTAAATGTATTATCTCAAAATTTCCGCCTGCAACTGCACTGTTAGCAAGTGATTTCGAGTCAATCTGACCGGTATGGTTGAGAAGTAGATACTTAAAACAGTTTATTGAGGAGAATTGACAAGATAAATTTAATAATTTTTCAAGAAACTTAGATTTCTCTGTAGATGCATTTGATTTCATATAGTTGCTAAAATCATTTGCTGATGCTGTAGTCAAATCATCAACTAAATCTTTTTCAATAATATATTCAATCGAATTTGGCTCAAAAATAGTTAATTTTTGTTCTGGATACTTTTCATTTAGTTCTATGTACTTTTTATAGTTATTTGTATCAATATCTTTCGAAATGGTGTATTTTTCTTTTAATTTTATAAAAACATAGTGAATTTCATCGAGTTTCTTTGGAATTATCTCTGATATGTCGTTTAAAATCTTGATGACATAATTAAGAGCATTGTTATGGTTCAATAAGATGTCAAAAATTGCATTTGTTACCAATTCGACATTTTCTTTAGAAACAGAGAAGATGTTGTCTTGTATTTCTGATATGTATCTGATATTTTCGGGAATTTCAACACTTGCAATCGTAAGTTCCTTGTTTTTCAATCGATAATCCATTTTTTTTATTGACAAAAATTTTTTATTCTCAATTTTGATTAATATAGCATTCCAAAAATCCACTGAATTAAGAAGTATCTTGCTGTAAATCAAAAGATCGATGAACAATTAGTGGTTTTTACTTTGATTTGATAAACTTTGATCTTCAATTTGGAAGAAATAAGATCAGGCGTTCTAAATATGCCAAATACAGAAGTCATGTTGCATTTTTACAACGCTTTAAAGAGTACAACAAGACGATATAAATTGTCCTATTTCTATTTTTGCGTTTGTTTTCATTTCTCAGCTTTGGATATGCTTTGTTTGAATCACAAAAGTCCAATTAACAGTTCCCACCATTGTGATTGACTAATTTTTAACTGGATTTAGGTTTTTTAACCCATCCAAATCAGATTTAATGCATTAAATAAGGCGCACTTACAATAATGAGCATAATTATCATACTAAAATTGCAATCCAGAAAAATTTGATTTTTATTTCAGTTCTACTGAAAGTTTAACCCATTTTATCGGGTAAAATTATGATATTCTAATTACATACAATGCAATAATGGAATAGTGTTTATGGGTGTTTCTCTCTCAAATGATTGGATTCAAAACGGTGTCAATCATCAATTGTTATAGACCGAAAATAGATTTTTTCGGTTTTCTCTTCAAATAATTGAAAGAATGATACTATTATAGGTTTATTATATTATATAGCATATAATCATGCTATAGCCGAAAATTATAAGTTTTGAGAAGATTGAATATAACACAAATAAATTTGAATGTAAGTTAAATTGCTTGTTGTTTTTAATAGCTATTTAATGAGAAATACAATATTGCAAAATTCAAATTGAATGATTGAAAGAACAGAAAAAGTCATTCTTTTCAATTTCGAATATGTTTCATTGTATTTATAATTATATGGCAAATAAGATATTTAAACTTGATTTTTGAAGGAAAATTCACAAAATTGAATAAATTCAAATAATTTTTATTCAAAAATAAACTAGTTATTTGAGTTTAATACTAATTATCTATTCAAACTACAAAGTTTGTAATTTAAAATATTTTGTGAGATCAGATTGAATTAATTCAAGGTTCTTTTCAATTAATATTAATGACCATATTACGCATTTTCGAACATTCTAAACCAAATATATCAAAATGGGAGACGAATGTTAAATTTGCTAGACATAAAGAAGTTGTTGACCGAGTTTTAGCTCTTATCTCTAACAAAAAATTAATTTTTAAAAAAATGACCGAATACGTTTCACAGCGAGAAAAAAATTTTAGATACGTGGTCTGTGTTTGAGGGTCCATTCAATTTTATTCTCACAATCCTGAATTGTCTTCTCAATTAGATTTATTTCTCCACAAATCAAGATGATTCAATTTTCTGATGATATCAAGATATATTAGATAGGTTCTAATAATCGATTAATTTTGTCTAATAAATCAAATTTCAATATCATTTATTTCAAAATCATTTATTTTTACTAAATGTCTGTAGAATACACTAATGACATGGAAATGCCACTCCGTGAGGCGAAGTTGAGCTTGAAGAAACTGATTCCGAATACAGCACACAGCCATATACAGAGAAAACACCAGCATCACAAGTAGGTTCATTTGCAACCATCATGAACTTGCTTAACTCATTACTTGGTGCTGGAATTCTCGCTGTTCCAAACTCAATGATATCATGTGGACTTTTCCCATCATTAATTTTACTTGCTGCCATTGCAACAATATCTTATTTCTCAACAGCAATGGAAATGAAATTACAACTTGAGCTTCAATCAAGTGGTCTCGATGATCTTGCATTGAAGATTCTCGGAAAAACAGGACAGGTTATTCTTTCCGTTCTTACACTTGCTTTCTGCGAAGTTGCGAACCTTGCTTACATCATTATCTCAGGAGACACAGTTATATCATGGTTCAACATCGCTGGAATTGATATTTCATCACTTTGGAGAAGAGCAGGAATGATTTTAGTTTATTCAATCGCTCTTCCTATTGCTCTTGCTATTCCACGTTCAATGAAATTCCTTTCTTACATTTCAACTGTTGCTCTTTTATTGATCATCTTCTTTGTTGTTGCAATGATCATTAAAGGTGCAAAAGAATTTCCAAAACTTGGAATCCACAAAGGAGTTTCATGGGGAAGAATCAATTTTGATGTTTTCTTTGCACTTTCTATTTATGGATTGACATTTACACTCCCAATCACAACTCTTCCAATTGTTGATAATTATGCAAAGTCATACAAGAAGAGGAACATGACTGCAATTGTTTCTTCAGTTGTCTGCTACTTTTTGGTCATTATTCCAGGAATTATTGGTTATTTGTTATTCGGAACAGATACAAAAGATATCATCCTCGAAAACTTCGAAAATGATGATATTTTGATGATTATCGTCAGAGCTGGTTTCTTCTTCGCTGTTACCTTCTCTTATCCATGCATGTGCCAGCAGATTTTCGCTTCTTTCTCCCAGTTAATATACGGAAACAATGATTTCAACACTCTCAATAACATGAAAAGAGTTATCATTCACATTGTTTCTCATGCAATTCCCATTCCAATTGCAATGTTCTTCCCTCAAATCAAACCAGTTCTTGATGTTGGAGGAGCTTTAGGTGGATGCATTGTAGGCTTTTCTTATCCAGCATTACTTTGGTACTACCACTACAGACCACAGTGGAAGGAAATGCAATTCTGGCTCGTCTGGGGATTGTTCGCTTTCGGTGTTGTCATCGCTATTGTTTCAATTACAATTTCCGTAATGCAAATTGTTAAGAAATAATTGCGATTATTTTTTATATATAGAGAATTAAAAATGTTATTTTTCTTTTATGAAATGAATAATTTTTTGTTGTTTTCATACCAGCAAAAAGCTTAGGCATGTGCTTACTTGTTTAAACCATATAAATGCTCTCTTTTTCGCATTCTGTTTGAAGTTATAATGTTGAAATAGTGTAGAACACTTTAACATAAAGAGTGATCTATAAATAAAGCAATTCTTGGTACATTTAGTCCTGATTGATATCCGCAAAGTAATGTTTCTCAAGAAATAAACATTAGCTGTGGGAAAAAATGTACCTTTCTGTCAAACCTGATTGTAAAAAAAAGATTTTAGCAATAATACACAGTTTCAAAGGTAATGAAACAATAATAATACAGTAATATTTCAGTATTATATTGCTATTCACATAAAAATCACTGTAATTATTAAAAAACATATAATATAAAATATTTACATCTTAATATATGCGTAAATTACCTCAGCGTTGTGCAACATCAATCTAGCATCAATACTTGGTACTAATTCATCGAAAAGAGAAGCAAATCTCTCAAGATTTTCGCATTTTTGGAGGCGACATTGGAGAATCACCAAAATTCCAGCGGAAATCGCCTCAAGAAACGCGAGAGGATCATCAGAAGTGGCAATAGCAGTGATAATCAGTATGGAATCGTCGAGAGAACGATCCCTTGTGAACAATGACTTCGGATGATTTTTAACAAACATGAGATTCTTCACTCCGAAGAACTCCATCATCTTTGCTGTCGATGGAGAGACTTTTTCAAGGACTTTCTTGATGGAAAACGCGGAAAATTTCTTAATAAGGCAATCTTCCGATTTTTCATTAACAAATCGCTCGTGAAATACCTTGAATGGCCAGAATACATCAGATGCAGCCTTTTCAATCACTGACTTGTTGTCGGCTGAAAAATTTTGATCTGAAAAGAAAACTTTGATGAAAAGTTCAAGGAAATGAACCGAGGAAGGTTCAAATTCGCCCTTTATGAAGTTAAATGCGAAAAGTGACATCAAAACTGAGAACATTAAGTCATCAAATGGCGGAACTCCGCATTGTGAGTTCTTTACGAAGCTTTCAGCATCGACAACGTATTTTCTGATACAATAGGAGTGGTCCCATTGTCCTTTCGTAATGTTTTTCCATTGAGAAACGAGTTTTTGATAATCTTCAAAGGTTCCGCTCGAAGAAAACTTAGATTTCCATACGTTCATGATATCACTTCGCTTGAATAATATGTGGCTTGACGTTTTAAGCTGAGATTCGTTATTATAAGGTGTTGGTTGAAAATCATCTGGAAATTCTGCAATAACGATACTGTTTTTGATACCATCTGTTTCTGCATCTGCATTTATTTCTTTTACTTGCTGCTGATTTGTAACAAAACTCTTCACATATTTATATCCCCCAGAAATTCCGGCTCCAATGAAATCTCTGACTGTATTTTGCTGATTTGTTTTCTTTGATAAAGCAAAGACCTTTCCTTGGCCAGGGAGAAATTCTAAATTCGCGTTTTGTTGTAAAATTTCGAAAAATTCAGAAACTTCAGAAGCATCTTGGAATAAAAAGGATCTGCTTGCAGCATGTCCTTTAATAAGAACTCTTAATGGATTATTAGTATCAACTTCCACAGTAGTAAACTGAGAAAAGAGATCCGAAGTAATTTCTTCGCCAGAATCAGCTGAAACGCATACAACATAAAGATCTTGCTTTTCACGTCTGAAATCGAGACGAGCACGGATTACTGACCCTGGTCCGAGTTCGAGTTCGATTTGCATTTTTTTTCTTCCTAAAAAGGTGACAAAATTTGAAGGAGATAGAAAATTTATTTTATAAAAAATAAACATAAATACATAAAACAAACAAACAAATGAGATCTAATAAGCCATTATCTCTCTGTTTAACTGAGATAATGAAAGAATCTCATCATTAATAAAATTATCAATAATTTCGCTATGTTTGTGACCTTCATGGATATTTGTTTGAAGCTATGGGTGGCTTAACGCTTCCGTCAATCCGATTCTCTTAGATGGGTCTTTAATAAGCCCGCAGGAATATCATTATCATATTGCGGATCACAACGAACAACGTTTGTGAATATTTCTTGCGTCGTTTTTCCATCGAACGGCAAGCATCTGTGTGTCATTGCGTACAAAATAATTCCAATTGACCATGTATCGATATTATCAGTGTAGGAAGAGTTTTGTATCACTTCAGGGGCAATATACTCCGGTGTTCCACAGAGCTTATGCATCTTTACTCTGTGACGATGTATAGAACTAAGTCCAAAATCAATAATCTTGATATTCTCGTATTCGTCGAGAAGTATGTTTTCAAGTTTAAGGTCTCTGTGCGTTACATGAAGGACTTCGTTGAGATATTTTGTGGCATAAATGATCTGTGAAACGAATTTCTTGATCAATGAGTATGAGATCGTGTTTCTTTTGTTAAAATAGTCAAGAAGGTTACCATGAGATACATACTCTTCTACTATGTAAATGTATTTTTGATCTTCAACAACTTCATAGATCTTCAAAATGTATGGATTGTTCGCATTCCTCATGATGAATATTTCCTTATTTAGCTGGTCGATTTGAGATTGATCGATTAAATCAGATTTTCTAACAATCTTGATTGCAACCTTGGCATGGGAAGCTTCATGGATACCTAGAAATACTGTTCCATAAGATCCAGAACCAAGTTTGGAGACGAGTGTGCCATATTGTAATTTGGAAATTTTTCAATCTACTGACCATACAGCTAAGAAAATGATGACGCGATTTTGCGCAATTATTTTAATCTTATTTAAGACTTAAAAAGAAATCAAAATAATTATCATGACTCATAACTCATACAAAATTTTCTTAATTGAATTTTCAATGTCATCAAAGTATTCAAATCAAAAAATTTTATATGAGGTTTATATCATTTATATTTATAGTCTTATTTACTACATAAATAATGCTGGATTATTCAATATTATACATTTGAATAATTAGTAAGGTGAAAGATTATTTGTGAAGATTTATCATGGAAAATACGGTATAGTTGAAATACTATCTTTTTATGAGTGTTTTAAATAATTGCCAGATTGAACAAAAAAACGTTCATTTTATTCGGATCACGATTTGATTAAAATAAGTAAACTGTAACATATATTAAATAATTTTCATTCCCGTCATTTAGATAAATTTTGCAAATTACCTCAGACTTTTCAGAGGCTTGAGTTGCCACTCAATCCTCTGAAATAGTCTGTGGTAATTTTTAGTCTCTACACTATTTCAATATAAGCTCCATTTTTAAACAGTTTTTAAAAATCGAGCATTGAAAAGTGTGATGAGACTTTTTTTTGCCATATGTAAACAAATCCCAAATATTTGTCATACCACTAATTACTAATTAATTCATCAGATAAATAAGAATCACCCACAACCATCATTTATCGTTAAAAAAATGTCAAAATGTAACTCATTTTTGTGTTGTATTTGAGAGCAATATCCTTAAATCTTTATCAACTTACTGAATGCATCTTTAGATTCCATTACATCACTTTTACAGGTATTACAATTCGTTTTTATAAACTTTTTGAGTAAAATCAAATTTGTATAACCTTTATTAGCATTCTTATACCTTTTCCATAGAAAAATGATATCACTGACCCATATATAGCAAAATACATTATAAATAACTAACTTTGAAGCCGAATTCAAAAAATTTTATTGTAAATTATTTATTTACTGAGTCGTTCTTATTAGAAACTTTAACATTATTATCACTTATACTTACAACATTTATTGGTACCTTCTTTGATCGATGAAAAAACAGATTTCTTAAAAAAATCTATTTCTTTTCAGTCGAATCTAGAAGATTGTATGTCTTAAGGTAGTTTTCATGCCATTGAGTAACAACACGTTTGGCAACATCTGCTGATTTCGGTTTCTGGACAATTACATTTGCGCGCTCGAGTTTCTTATAATCAATGAAGAACTGGTTGATCATTATGAGTTTAAATGGTGGGAGCTGAGTAATATCAGTGTAAAAGTTGTACTCTGGGTCACCAATTGAAACAGCTATGACTTTTTCATCGATTTTTCCATTATTTGTCATACCAACAATACCTATCGGACGAGCATGCATGATTGAACGTGCAGGAACTGCGATAGATGACAAAACAACTATGTCCAATGGATTTGTATCGCCTGCAAGAGTTTCCGGTATAAATCCATAGTTAGCTGGATAAACTGTAGAAGAATGTAGTATTCTATCGACGCAAAGTAGTCCGGTTGCAATATCAAGCTCTGTTTTGACTCTAGATCCTGCAGGGATTTCAATAACTGCTGCAACAATATCTGGATAGTCTTTTCCGATTGACACACCATGTAATGGGTGGGCTTGGAAGAGCTTACGCTCGTATTTCACTTTTTCATTGTTCTGTTCATCATTAACTTTATCAATTAAAGCTTCTGTATATGCACGGCAATCTTCTTCATGACCAGGCATATAAATTCCTCCGTTAAATGTTCCACGTTCGGATCTGGATACAAGAGCCATTTATGAATCGTAAACTAATGAAATGTTTAGCGGAAAAAGCGGTTAATAAAGATTTATCCAATAAGCATCTCTGCAGTACTCATCGTATTTTAAATCCAAAAAAAATGTTTTTATTCTCAATTTTTGAGAAATTGTTTAGTATTCAAATTTCGGTTCCGTTAAAATCTTATTACATTACAGTATTACAATTTATTTTTCACAAGATTACTTTTACTGTTCACATAAACGTGACAATTTAAATTCAATATACGAAATGTTGTTCATTGCTATTCTACCAGGCGTCGATATTGCTAATTAGCATAAATTTTATCAAATTATTTCGAAAACAACATTTTTGAGACTATTTGTAATCGATATCCTTTAATCAAACAGTTAAACAACGAAAGTAGATATATACAATAGATGTTTAGGCATTAAATCGTAACGAAAGACATAGATTTTAGAAGTTATACACTCTTTTCCTTTTATATTTCTTCCTTTTTTCAAGATCATTGATCTCTTGTTCCAATACCTTCTGTTCTTCATCTAATGCATTTATTGTCTCATCAAATGTCTTCAAATTCTTTTTATTAATTTCGATATTTTCTTCTTTGATTCTTTTGAATTTTAACTCTTTGGAGATTATCCTTTCATGTATAGAATCTATTTCATGAGACATTTCTTCTATTTTCCTCTTCTTTTCTTCGATATCATTTTCCAAATCAGATTTCTTTTTGTTTTCTTCATCAAATGATATCTGAAGACTACTTTCAGACAAATCATTGTTTTCCCTTTCAATACGACCAAGTTTCCATTTCAATTCTTTGATTCTTCCTTTGATTTCGCTAATTTCATTTTTTATCGTTTCATTTTGAGTGAAATCGATTTCAATACGATTATTTTGGTATTTTTCTGGTAGTTTTATCGTCAAAAGTTTTTTTGCAGTAATTAAGCTGTAGATCTTCTGTTTTTCTGTTTTATACCTTGATAATGATTCATTTACATCATCAATTGCATATAATAATGCACCTCTGTTTGATTTTAGTTCATTGCAGTGATTTTGCAAATCATTTAGAAAATTTTGGTTTGAATTGAGCCTGCTTATGCCCATATCGATATGTAGTCTAGTATCAAAGATCTTGGCTTTTGTTTTGTCAATTGATTTACTAATTTCATCAATATTTTTCATAGTATTTTTTGATTCGCTTAAAATATCAGTTTCTTGGCATTTTAATAGGGTAGATTCGCTTTTCATTGATCCAATTTGATCATTTATAGCTTTAGTTTCTTCTAATTTACTAATGATTTCAGATTTAATCTGATCTTGAGTAATTTCTAAGTTCGAAATGAGGTATTTAAGGTCGAAAGCGTTTAGTTTTGCTGTAGAGTTCTCTGTATTGTAGGCAATGGACTCTAAAGTTGAGTTTGCGATACTTAATGAAACGGATAATCTGTTGATCCTTGCATTTAGAGCTTTGACAGCAAGGGCAATATTTCCATCTTCCTTATCACTAACTGGTGTGAATGGTTCGGCATAAGTTCTTGTATTGTTTGGCTGCATTTGTCGAGTTCGATTTTTTTAGTTTGATGTGATGTTCTTGAATGGATTTTCCAAAATTTTAGATATTTCTTGAGAAAATAATCCACAATCAACTAGAAATGGGTTTTCCATCTCAAATCTAAAGTAATGCCTACAAAATAGTTTGAATAAATTTCATTTCTTACTAAAATATCAAAGAATTCAGTCTAGATGGAAATCGGACGTATTAGATCTTAAGAGTAAGATAAACTCTTACTTTCGAGTGATTTTCAAAAACATGTTAATTTTAATTGAATTTTTTGAGTGCGGGACAAATTTGCCAAGTGTCACTTTTCAATAACCTTAAACTACGCTTTTCTAATTTTTTTAAAAAATAACCTTAAATTATATTTGAAGAAATTATGTCTATGATATATGTTTTATGCTAGAATCTTGGAGTTTTCATGCACTACACAAGAGCTCCAAGGTTCCAAGAGTGAATGCTCAATAGCAATTATAAAGATGTACCTTTTCAAAATGACTTTTACTGATTAAATTTAATCAATAGAAGACATTTTGAAAAGGTACCTCTACAATTAGATATACAAGAGATTCAAAGCTTCATTTCAGATAGATTTGAAACTTTGAAACTCTTGGTAGATTTTGAGTGAATGCTGACAATCATCTTTGAGAAGGTTTTCTTAAAGAAAACCTTCTCAAAGAGGTTTCTCAGGAGCCCTGAGGCTCCCTTTCGTAATGATTGGGAGCCTTGGGGCTCCTGAGACGAAGAATGGCTTCGCCGAATCTTTGATCAGCAGAGGCCAAATGAAAAGGCCTCTGCTGATGGATTCTCAGGAGCCCTGAGGCTCCCTTTCGTAATGATTGGGAGCCTTGGGGCTCCTGCAGCAGAGTATCGCTCCGCTCCATTAATTTTTTTTTAAAAAAGTGCCGTGTGGCAAATTTGTCCTGTTCCCGAATTTTTTTGACCACATATTAAAATTGCTTGGCACAAAGCAATAATCAAAATTTCAAAGTTTATGTTTGAGCAAAAAAAAGAGTTTACAAAATTTCCATGAAAGCTCAAAGCTTTTTTAAACAGTTTAGAGACAAAAAAAGCAGACTAATTGATATCCCAGCAGAAACCAAAGGGAGAAAAGTCTGTCTTGTTGATTATGACTGGTATAAATCACTTGAAAAATGGCTGAATGAAAAAACTCCACAACCTCCAGGCAAAATCAATAATAAAGGACTTTTGCTTGGCGACACATTAAATCCTAGAATGCAACGCAAGATTGATTATGAAATTATCGAGGAAGATATGTGGCTACTAGTAACACAAGTATTTGGGAATACACAGAAGATTGAAAGATACTATGTAATTGAACCCGAATCGAAAAAGCCATATGTTATTCTTGATTACGTAAATTTACATATAAAAGTTGATAATCTTAGAGAAGTCAAGAAAATGTCTGATAAAAAATGGAAGGTTGGACCAATTATAAAACAATTATGCGAAACATTAAAAATAAATTACAATGATTACAAAATTATGACGCCAGATCAATCAGAAACAATAAATCCTGATACAAAAATACAACAGATTGACGAAAAGTACAAAGGAATTATTCAGATTGTCCGTAAAAATCAACCAAAGAATATAAATTTACAAAACTTTGAACAAGTGGCCGAACCAGCTAAAAAACAAGAAATAACAAAGTACGAAATTACGAAACCACCAGAAATTATTCAAAAATCTTCATTCAATAATACAACTCAGCAAATATCGACTCCTAAGCCAGAACCAGTTGTAGAAAAGCCTATTGACGATATACCTCTTACAAAATACAGTATTTCGGCCGTTGGTTTTGTAAATTTAGGAAATACGTGTTATTTCAACGCAAGTCTTCAATGTTTGTTCCATATACAGCGACTTACAGATATCATACTTTCTCCTTCATTCCTTTCTCGCATAAATACGACAAATAAGAAAGGATCTGGAGGAAGAGTCGCAATGGCGTATAGATCTACATTAATGTCACTCTGCAATGCAAAGGATTATTCTGTATTGACTCCTACAGATATTAGAGCTGCTTTTACGTCAAGATTTCGTAAATATGCAAATAATAATGAACATGACGCCCAAGAAGCCATGTTAGACATGCTTGACGCCCTTCACGAGGACACAAATGAACACGCCGGACTCGAAATTCCCAAAAATTTGACAGACCACTGGCAAATTCACTTATCTCAAAATAATTCACCGATTGTTGACCTGTTTCATGGTGAATTAGTATCATCAATACATTGTCCGTCATGTGGGAAAGATGAATCCGTTCATGAACCATTTACATTCCTTTCTGTTCCTATTCGTTCCCAAATTTTTTCTTCAGTTTCACTGGAAGAGTGCATAAATGAGTTTGCTGAACGAGATGTTCTAGATGCAAGCAATAAATGGGAATGCCCTTTCTGTAAGGAGCATGTAGAGGCCGTAAAAGAGCTCGCAGTGTTCAGATGTCCTTCAATTTTACTGATTCAGCTCAAAAGATTCAATCCTGTAACGAAAGCTGCTATTACAACTAATATTACGTATCCAGATACCTTAGATATGAGAGGATTCGTCAAAGGACCAGATCCAGGAAATTTCAAATTAATTGGAGCTGTTTTTTACCATAAATCTGTTTTCATGGAGCATTATACGTCCGCCTGTCTCTCCATGGCCAACAATAAATGGTACAGCTTCGATGACAACATTGTAAAAGAGATCGACCAAACTTCTGCTCATCAGGGAAACGCTTACATCCTAATTTATCAGAAAAGAGAATAGAGTTATATGTATTTATATATTTGTTTGTATTTTTTTCTATGAATAAAATGAGATTTAATTCACCATTTGAAATTTACAAAATTATGACTTCATAAAATGCTTTGGTAGTGCTTAGAAAGCATATATTTAATTTGTATGCATAAACTTGAGCAAAATACAAAATTATTTTGATTAATATTAACTTTCAGATTGTATTCAAAGCTATTAATCATTCATAAAACAGCGCTATAAGATCTCGCTAATAAAGTCTAGAGGGTTTGTGATACTAGATTTTTTATTGTGTTATTTATGGATTTGTATGCAGATCTAATGTTTATTCTTAGCTAGATCCAATAAATATAGCAAAAAGAAGTTCATATAAAAAATGATTTCGCATAATACAAATACATGATTGAAAGAAAAGTGATTCAAGAATAGTAATAACGAGTCTACCATTTCCTTCCCATACGCCAGGAAATGACATGACATCTTTAAAGATATATCCATCATTTAAATTGAATGCATAAGGATGACTTTCGCTCTCGTTATAAAAACTACCTTTGGCAGAAATGTTTCCTTTCGGGATAGAGGCGTCAAGTGAGAGTGCCCAAGAGCTTCCTCCTCCAGCACCACCATTTCCATGATGACCAGCGAATCCACCGAACCAGCCACTACCTGCGCCAGGCCGGTCTGGAGCTCCATAACTTACACTAACTCCATCCGAATTCTTCGAGCTACTTTCTTGAGCTGATTCGCCAGATCCAAAAGTGAAGCCAAAAGTTGAATTGGCAACTTTATCTGAGTTCAGGATGCCATCGATCCAATAGCCTTGTGCAGTTAGGCCACCTCCTGAACCACCTGATCCATCATCTCTCAAATCTGGATATGTGAGCTTATTGTCAGAACCACCTCCTGCACCGCTCACAATCACACGATGCCAAATGTCATTTGACAGGAATTTGACAGCGGTTTGACCACCGCAGCTTCCTGACCCGTGATCAGTACTGGAAGTATAATAATTAAATGCACTACCACCTCCTCCATATCCTCCTCTAATCATTTTAGAAGTGTCATAAGTTGTATAGGTATCAGTGATATTATAAATTCCTCGACCGCCAATCGTAGCAAAAGCAGTTATACGGTGGGTCAACTTAATGATACCAGATATGTAGCCGCCAGCACCACCGCGGCTACCAATTTGGTTGCATTTTGCATTTCCATGGGCAAGCTGAATGATATCATTACTTATGCAGATTCTATTTTTATCCATGAATGAGGACATTCTTCCTTCATATGCACCACCAGAGGCACCATATAGCTCAAATTTATATATCCCTGGACGCAAATTGATGACATAATCAGTGCATTCGAAATTTGATGTGCAAGGATAATCGAATGTATATGTCTTTGAGGCTTTATCTTCACTAACATTCCCCTTATATTTTACTTTGTCAATTAAACTATATGTTAAAATTTAATATTGGAAGATCAATGAATACAAAAAAATAAAAAACGAATATTTAGGAACTTTTCTCATAATGAATTGTCATCTTATAAGGCTTTTTATAAAATGGTTTATATTATAACGATATTTTGCAAAGTAAGCTATTCCAACAAGCATGTCATGATGCTTTTTGTCAGAATGAATTAAATAAAGTGTAATAATCTGTAGGGTGAATGTATAAACATGCAACAATTCTTTAGGTAAGAAATCAAATTTGATATAATATAATTTCGGGACTCAGTTGGCTAGGCTTGCCCGAAGGGCAAGCCTAGCCAACTTCGGCAAAGTAAACATATTATGATTATGGGAAATGAGTTTATACAAATAAATTTAATTGTGAGTGATTAATATTATATTTTAAAGATTATTATGTAAAATATAAGATAGACTTTTAGCTAAATCGAAGTAATTTAGAGAACAATTTGAGATTTTAGAGATTTTTCAAATGAAATATTGAAAGCAAAGAATTTATTAAGAATTTGTTGTGAAATGAATACACTTCGGTAAGGCATTAGATTGGCGTGATAATTGACAAAATTGGAGCTGAAGTTTGGTTCACAAATGAAGAATAGGTCTAAGCTATATCAAAAAATTGTAATGTATTTGAAAATCTAATAGTTTTATTTAGTAATTTGATATCGATGCGATCATAGATATTGATTTGAGTATTAAATTCGAAATTTTGTAATTTAAAATGATATTTAGGAGCTGTAAAGCTAAAGACTAATTAAGTATATGATGACAAGGAACTTGCTAGAGATTAAAATCTAAAATTTTAGAATTTTTAAAATTAAATTGAAACTACATGAACATATTAAGAATCTTTTAAAGTATACTGGCACTCCAATAAGTCATTAGTTCAATGTGATGCATTAGAAGTTTGATTGAAAAGTCTGGTTAAGAAATGATGAAAATGTGAAATGAAAATAAAGCATTTTTCTCAATTTTTCAGACACTTTTTGCCTATCGTTTTCGAAGTGGCGCTTCGCGCCGCTAATAAAATTTTGAGAACAACTTTAGTTGTTTGTTGGGCAAAATTATTTTAACGAATTACGATTCATAATTTGATGTAATATAATAATCTCTAATTGATTTTTGACTTTTGATAATAAATTATTAATAAATATTTTGAAAAGTCATTTTCTTCGCTATTTGATTGGCGCTTTGCGCCAATCAAATAGCTCAGATTAAGAATATGATATTATTTCAAATATGATGAAAATTTTTGAGTGAAAACTATCAAAAATAAGTCTTAAAAAATACATTTTTAGAAATGGTTTTTGATTCCTAATCTCGATTGAAAGACATTGAATTTAGTTTTGAGAAGACTGTTTTTCATTTTGAGAATTATTAATTAGCATATAATTATAATCATATTGTATGAAGTTATCAATTCTCTTAAATTTTGAAAGCTTAAGAAATTTAAAAGCACAAACAAATATATATTATTAAAATCATGGTATTGATCAATTTGAAAAATTTTGAAATTTTGAATACGAATTTTAATGTAAACTTTAATAGTTGTAACAGAATAGGAAACATCACAGATGGCAACTTAGATTAATGAAAAGTTGGAATTTTTTCAATAAAATTTTATTCATGAAAAAAGATGCATGAAATACAATAATAGTAATATAGATACGTTATACAACATGTTCAATAAGTGATCACTATAAGCATAATAGCTTTAAACAAAATAATCATATCAAAATTTGTATCTGTAAGCAGCAAGAGTGTTATATCCTAATATTAGGTGTAACTACTTATTAGACAATGAATACAATATAATGCATTGATTAATATGCTAAAGAAAAAAAATTATATCCTTCAATTTGGACAATCCGAAATTTTTCTTAATTAATTGAATTACATATACATTAATTTACAATCGAGTGATATCAGCGAGAAACTTATATGCACGTTTAACTTTATCAGATTTCAAATGAAAACATGGATTTCATTGCATGTTTTTCAATACTAGCTCCAGAAAAATGATACAAAGATGAATAAATAGTAATGTCCCTAAAATATGGTACAAAACAAAAAATTATCAACAATATACTTAATTTTGGCTATTATGATAAAAAGTGAATATGTCAAAAACATTTATTCCATCATCTTGTTATCTGTACCTCACCACGGACTAATATGAAGAGAGAAAGGGACAGACTAGCCCATTGTCACTTTTTAATTTAGCAAATGAACGCTTATGGAGTGGAGTTTTTGGGTAAATCTGATTTGCTTATAAATGAAATAAAATCAAAAGAAACCATATTGGCATTATATTATGCAAAAATAAATGATCTTACTTAGTACTTTTAAAGTTAATTTCAGAAAAAATTTGACACAATGGTATCCGGCACATACAAGTGGTGTACAACCAAAATATAAGTTAGTTTAAACATATATTGCTATATCTCATGATCTTACTTAGTACTTTTAAAGTTAATTTCAGAAAAAATTTGACACAATGGTATCCGGCACATACAAGTGGTGTACAACCAAGTTAGTATACAAGTCTCGTGTACGGAGGCACTGCGTTCCTCCATACGCAATACTTGTGAATTTGACACTTTACAAAACCGTTAACGTATATTTTACAACACAAACACAAACACCAACTTAACCTTAAATATTTATAAAGCCGCCAACCACTTCACCTCACTACTGTAAAAAATAAACGTTCTCACTTACAAAAGTATTGCAACTCTTCCCATTGCTGTGCTTCACACAATAGTTCATATTCTTCAGTATCGCTGCTGTCGCTCCAATCGTCAGAGTCAAAGTCACTGTCAAAATAAATGTTAGTAAGTTTTGACAAAGCTAATGAAACACGCTTACCGTTTGTATCGTATGCTTGTATAAACTTTCCATTCTTCATTCCTTCATAAACGCTCAAACTAACTTTACCCTTTCTCCCTCGTATCTGATAGAATGTATTTTCACGAGGAACGAAGAACAAATTCTTGAACTCATGACCGTTGTAGTTTGTTATCTCAATAGTTTTCGTCATTTACATCCAAATAAAAATTTTCAGTAAAAATAAAAAATAAACTTAAAATTAATGATATCACCACCCTCACACGTATGAAAACATAGCACAAAAATAAATTTAGGTGAAGTGGTGAGATTTCACCTGTTTTCTCACCTGTTTTTTCACCCACTTGAATTCATTGCTTTATAACTCTCTTCCTTGGTTTCTTTTTAGTTGCTTTCTTCACGTCTGTCTCCAGCTTAACTGTCTTTCTTCTTCGTCCGTAATGATACCAGTTACTTCCACCAGTCAATGGGTCAAATGGTCTTTCGTAAGGGTTTCCATACATTCCATAGGGACCATACGGAAGAACTACTGGTGGAGAAGAAACATTTTCTTTAGTTCCATCGACTCTATTTAAATGCATTGTTTCACCTTTCATCTGGTCATTAAAGTCTTTTGCATGTTTTGCAAACTCATCGTCCTTTCCTAAAGCATTTTCTGACTCAGTCGCAACCAAATTGGATGCTTTATTTATGAGCCCTATTTTATTTAATCTTAACTTCTTTGCAACCCAGCCTCCAATCTTTCCTTTATTTGCATCTAATGTCTTCGAAACTCTTCCTCCACTCATTTTATTTACTGCGTCATAAGCCCCAAGTGCTTTTGCTCCAAATGCTAATGCTTTTGTTCCCATTGCGCCTAAAGCTGCCCAAGCTACCATTTACACCATATTAAAATCATCTCTCTTCAATATTATCTCATAAAAGTTCTCTTTACTGGAGAAAGTCAATGAAACATAAACATTCTCACGGGCTTCGCCCTCACCGCTTTGCGGTCTATCTAACTTATTTCTTATATCATCTATTCTCAATAAAATGTCTGAACAATTGCTAACATCTTCTACAACAGTTATTTCATCATGAATGACCTTTAAAAACAAGCTCATTTAATATGCTATTAAAATCATTTCAATAATGAGTCCATCCTTTCCATCTTTAGGTAGCACAACATCTTTCATTGAAGAAGGTTCGACAAGTCTTATATTAAACTTACTGACAAAGTTTGTTATACTATAATGCTTCGGCGGCGAATACATATAGTTTGAAAGACATAATATAGATTCTTCAGCAAATTCACTTATACTGGATTTTATAACAATGTTCTCACGAGACCAAATACCACCAATTGACAATCTTGTAAGCAATCCTGCTGAACCTTCAACTGTAAACGTCGATGGTAACATTCCACGAAGGTCATCTATTGACATCTTTGAGTCACTGAATTTAAATATTTTCTTAAAGCAATCGTCATTATCTAACCATGCAATAGCTTTGAAGTTTTCATTCGAATATACATCTGCTTCATTAAATGTAAAACCTGACTTCTTTGCAGAGACGACTTTAAAATCTATTGAGTTTGTTTCAAAATTATATGCTATGCTAACTTCTGAAGGTAATGGGTGTCCTTCCGCAGTCAGTTGTTCTCTCACTACCCGTTTGAAGCTTTGTATTAAAACTTTCATGTCATCTCCTGTGTCTAGGTTCACATACACAGCAATAGGAAAACTATCTTGCTTCTTTGTCTCATCATTATACCTCAAAACATTAAAGTTCTTCAATAATATTGTTCTTCCTGCTGGAATACTTCGAACCTGTCTTATTTCAATAGCTTTCTCACCTCCTACATACTCTACCCAGTGTCTTGGATATTCATAAGTATACTGACTTTCTTGAATTTTGGTTGGTTTCATCATAACATGTTCATAGTATATCTTTATACTCTTGTCAGTTAGACTCGGTGCTATGTTCTGAATATTTCTGACTTGCATTTTTAATGGAGATAAAATGAAGCATTTAATACATGACGTAGATGAAGACATGAATGAAACTACAGACAAACTTAACTCTTCTCTCATTCTTCCTTTCAGTAAGGACTATGAGTTCTGTTCAAATGGCGTTTATTTCTATTGTGGAAAGATGGGTTCAGGTAAGACATTTAATTTAATTCGTCATATACTCATAACAGAACGTTTAGGAAATGACTCATATTATGACCAAATCATTATATCAGCAACTTCAGACTCTATGGACTCAACAGCGAAAACATTTATGTCAAAAGTTCAAGCCTCTGTCGTTAAAGTTCCAGACAGTGAACTCATTGAATTTCTTCAACGTTACATTCGACGTAAGAGGAAATATTATGCCATCGTTGAATTTATACAGTCAGGAATGCAAAAGACTTCTGAGGAGATGGAAAGAATTATTGACAAACACCACTTACGTCAGTACTCAGGAGTTTACGATATGAAACGACTTACAAACTACATTCTATCAAAACTTTCAAAATACCCCTTCAAAAAGTATCCTTCAAACACTCTGCTCGTTTGCGACGACTTCGCCGGAAAAGGTTTAGTGTCAAAGCCTGACTCACCATTAGCTAACATCATTACTAAAGTCAGACATTACCACTTAACTGTAGCAATACTTATGCAAACATGGAGGTTTTTAGCTTTAAACATAAAACGTCTCATAACTGACTTCGTTATCTTTCAAGGTTTCTCACGTTATGATATTGAACTCATTTGGAAACAGTCAGGTATAACATTACCTTTTGAAGAAATTTGGGAAGCATATAAGTCTCTCATCTCTCCTCGTTCATACCTTGAGATTCATATCATGACTAATACCATTAAAGTCAAAAATATTCCATGGGAACGACCAACATTGTTTTAAAGTTTAACCTTCAATTGACTGATGGTAAACAAATTCCATGCATCTCTGTCGCCATTTCTGTTAATATTTTTGCTGTCATTCATATCATCCACTTCCCCATCCGTTAACTTTTGAGGATATGCGTTAGAATAGCTGTTCTTAAATGAAGGCTTTTCACCTTTTAGCGCATAAACTCTATAACTTTCTGCATACTTTATGTTTGAACCTCCTGAGCCATCATTGACATAAATTTTTATAGGCTTCCACCCTTTGTTCATGTTCCTGCTTCTTCCCTTAGCTCTTTTGTTCAGTAGTTCTACATCTTTATACACAGCACCTGTCTCAGTGAATTCAACAATATTTTCATTCGTTAGCTTTACATTCAAACCCTTGTCGAGTATATTGTTCATTTCATACATATAAAAGGTTTTTATTCTATATGAAATGAGAAGCAAATCCATCTTAGCTGGTGCCGTTAATGTTCCAATTGAACCAACATCAAATGTTGACTCACGAACGACAAACAATATTGTCATAAAGAACTATAGTTCGGAGTGTTTGAAAGAAAAAGAACCAGAACTGAAATCCGTGAATTTAAACTCAGCTTCAAACGCTAACGCTACATCAGATGTTAAGTTAGAGTATCCACCACTGGACCAAATTCTTTCAAGAGAAGCCAACGACAACCCTTACACAAATGTTCAAACAAATCCTTCAGATAACGTAGACCATTACCTTCTTCAGTTATATCAAACTATTTTACTCAAAGACGATAAGAAGCTTTTGACAAATCTTATAAGTAAGAACCAAATAATTCTAACAAAGGAGGACCTTGAAAATGTTATCTCACGAATAACAGGGAAACAATGTGTCATTGACTATCTCGACCCTGAAATCGAATGCTGTGGTCAAACGCCACCATTCATGAAAATAGGTAACATCCGCATCATTGAAACACCAGGAACTACAGGAGTTGAGTTTAAGTATAAATATTCGAACGAGTATACAAAACTTTCAACAGAATATAAACTTTGCTTGAAATATGTTTTAGTAAATTAAAGCAATTTGTAATATCTGTCCAAAACTTCTTCAACAGTATCGAACTCATCTTCATAATGCAAACCTAATCTTATTGACTTGGTGCAGTTTTCACTAACACAATATAGCGCTTTGCGCTCGGCGCCTTTGACGCCTTTTTCTGTTCTCTTGACTGACATAACTAACTCATTTGTTTCATCAAACAGCAACAACCAAAGTTCATGACCTAATACATAACATTCATACTTTATATTTTTAGCTCTGAGTTCTCTTGTAAGCTGTTGCATTTAATATTTTCTAAAAGTCAACTTCAACAGTCATTCGCACTGGTGCCTTCAGTTCTACAGGCTCGCCTGAAAGTCAACAAGTCTGAATTGCATGTCTTTCAAATTATGAGGACTAATGCGAACCCATTTACCTAAATGAGTTGCTATGACAGGAACGTTTGGAATGAACATTGAATTTACTTCATAACAGAAAGACTTATATTCTACTGAACCTTTACTATTAACTCCTGAAATGCCTGTGACATTAGCTATTTTAGACTCAATGTACAAACAATTACCATAACATACGTATGGAACAGATTTCATCTCAATCGTTTTGTCAAAACTTTTCAAAGGAAATGTCATATGGTATGCTCCCAGAAGCAATTGAACTCTATGACTCATTCGTGTTATCTTAAACTCCTTCGCATAACTGAACTTCAAAACTCCTGCAATAAGTTTAACATTCATTAAGTTTTCTTCGTTCTCCTTGTTTATTGTAGTATTTATGAGCGCATTTAACACTCCAGCTAATGTTTCCATCTTATATTCTACATTATTGTGAAATCTTATTTCATGCTTCTTTCCATCTATTTCAAACTCCATGAAATCTGTTTCATCTGTTATGACAAAAGTTGCGATAGTATTGAAGTCAACAACTCTGAAAGCAAGTGCTTCATTCTGTAGACCTAAGTTTGTTTGAAGCTTTACTGTCCCGTATTCGTTTGGGTCTGTACTTTGCAAATAGAACAACATTTTATTCTCATTAAAATATGACTATTGCTGCATATGCGTATGAAACAAATGAAGCAAGAAGAGCAATGAACTAGTAAACGAAAACTCAACTTTAACCATTGAAGGCAATGATTTAGTCATTGACGATGGAAAAACTAAAAAAGTCATTGATTTCGATACTTTTAACACTTATGACCCATTCATTACAACAAGCAAAGTTCCTATTATAAATGATGGAACGGTGCAATATATAAATTCTACAGTAGATGCCTCATTAGTGAAAGTATTAAATGTTCTCATTGAATTGTTAAAGAGCTTTCGATTTGACGACAACATTAAATGCCTAAAGAATTTAGTCATGAATGAGAAACAAATTCTCGGCGTTGCTGTAGCAGTAATGATGTACACCTTATGACATTAGAATATTATAACGAACATAAAGATGAACTGAAAGGAGAGAAGGGTGACACCGGACACAAGGAATACAAGGACCTCAAGGAATACAAGGAATACAAGGAATACAAGGACCTCAAGGCGAAAACGGTTTGGATGGAAAGGATGGAAAGGATGGAAAAACTGCTAAATCATGGATATGGGACCTTATAAATACTGGTTTAACAGCTGCTTCATATGGAGTTCTTCAATACCAAATCGGAAAGATATGGGCGGTACTTGGTGAAGAAGTTTTAAATGACGTTAAAAATGCTTTGAACTTCATTTCAAATGGTTCGGATACTATTAAACTTTATCTGGTTGGATGCAAGAAACAAGGAGTCAAATAGATACTGTAAGACGTATAGCAAACAATGCACGTACGGGATTGGATACTTTACGACAAGCACAAAATACACTAAAGGAAGCAAATGATATTCTTGGCTCAGTATCAGACATGCATGAAGATTGGCTTAAAGGTATTGACAAATCTTTAAAAAATCACAGTCAGTCTATTGCTGACTACAAGAAAAGTATAGATTTTTTACATAGTGCTATGGACGTACATGATGGAAGCATAAGGAACTTACTTAATGCTAACAATAACTTACCAGGAACTATTAAAGCATTTATAAAGTCCTTTGTAAAACCTGGTGCTCTAACATTTAGGTCTTTGAGAGCAAGAGCATTGAAGTCAAGAGATGCAGAAACTCCAACAGAACCTACAGAAGGAACTGAAACAACAGAAACTCCAAAAGAACCACCAAAACCAACAGCTAATGAAATATTGTTCGAATATTTTCCAAGGTACTCTGTTCTCATTGCATACATTCAAGAAATACTTAAGAAAGCAGACTTGACTTTAGGAGATGATGAAAGTTCTGTATATCTTTCGTTCCAGTTTCAAATAGCAGAACTTTTGAGACAGATATGTTTAATGTATGACAACATCTCTGATTTCACAAGATATGATGACGACCATGACCCCGAACACGGTGAAGAAGAAGTTTTACAAACATCCATTAAGACAGGAAAGGTTTTAACTCAAAGTCTCATTATTGACACCAAAGATGGCGAAGTGGACGTTCTTCAAGAGCTGAAGAAAAATACTTCTTCGGGAGGTGGTGGTAGGCATGAACTTGAAATAAATGAGATAGAAGAGAAATTAGCCGAAAAAGCAGATAAAGAACATAAACACAATATCTCCGATATAAATGAACTTCAAGCTACATTAAATAGTAAAGCGGACAAAAATGAACTTGACGCAACGAACAAAGTTTTGAAATCTCATAAACACAATATCTCCGATATAAATGAACTTCAAACTTCTTTAGACAATAAAGCAGACAAAAACCATGTTCATTATATAAGTTCTGATGAACAGATTATAACGGACTATCATGGATATTTAACACAGGGTGAAAAAGTGAATACGAAAAATGTTAATGAAAGAAGATATAAATTCATTCGTGCTAAAGGTTATGACATACACTGTACTGTACAGTATGACACAGGTATAGCACCACAATCATTTGGTTATAACGCTGAAATTTATGCTTCATACTTCTTTGTTAACGGTGTATTAGTTGAACCAAGATTTACTTTGAGAGTTAAGTCAAAAATAACTTTTGAAGATGCTATTAAAAGTAAAGCTGACAAAACAGAACTTGACGCAACGAACAAAGTTTTGAAATCTCATAAACACAACATCTCCGATATAAATGAACTTCAACTTCTTTAGACAGTAAAGCCGACAAAACCATACACATAAATCCTTCACTACTGTTAGAGCAGACGACATAATATTGAACTTTGACCTTGGTTCAAGTGCACCATTAGAGAATCCGAGTACAAGCGTAAAAAGATACTCTTAACAATTTAGATAAGAGTTGCAGGAATATCGAAGTCATGCCAGAAACTTTGAAGCATATGAACTACCAGCAATGTTAGATAAGAAAGCAGATAAAACTTATGTGGATGCAGAACTAACAAAGAAATTTTCGAAACCAGATACAATGACATTTACAACAGAAATTATAAATGGTGAACCAGCAACTCCATTTGAATTTGTTAGAGGTCTTCAACCAGATACTTTTGAATTTTTCTTGGATAATTCTATTGAACTAACATTACATTATAAAAGTGGAACAAATGCAACATTTCATCCGGGAGATACATTCCAAATGGTATTTAATGACATAAGTTCTTTAGAATATGTTTATAGAGTTATGAGCATATATGATTTAATATATCCTATAGGAGCTGTTTATACGTCTATGAATCCAATAAATCCAAACACTTTATTTGTGGTAGATGGTATGAAATAGTTGACAGTTTTCCATTCTACACTAATACGCAGTCAATGAAGATGGGAGGTTCAAAGAAAATAGGTATTGAAAACCTTCCTTCACATATGCATAGGTTCAGTGGAAGAACATCTGTGGAAGGAAACCATTCACATTCAATAACAAAAAGAGGTTATACAAATCTTGCAGCGGGTTCGGATAGACAGGGAATGCATAGATATGATATTTCAACTGACCCCAGTAGATTAGCACAGGTATTTTCTGTGGAACTGCAGGAAATCATACACATGTTGTAGCTGGTATTACAGACCCAGCAGGTAATGGAAAAGATTATATGCCTCCTTATATAACAATGCACGCTTGGATACGAGTTGGTTAAAATCTTTAACTTTACATAAATGAGCTTGAAAGAAGTATTCGAACAACATCCATGGAGGTCATTTAAGAAGTTCAATGAAGCTGCAAAGAGTTCGGGATTTACTAACAGAGCTGAAGTGAAAAGGTTCTTTGACAAAAATGTTGTACATCAAACAAAAAATAAACCCTTACGACTACTTTTTACCAATTTACTCCAACACTCCTGACGCATACCAATTTGACACTCTCATTCAAAGCAGAAAAGGAGGACATAAACCATTCCTCATCTTCATTAATGTTAACACTCGCAAAGCATTGCATATAATGAAAATAAAGGAACTCATGAAGTGTTAAGAGTTTTACAAAAGTTTGTAGCAGAACATACCCAAGTACTTTAACATCAGACCAAGACGGTGCATACCTCAGCAACGAAATCACAGAATTTCTCATTAAGCATAACATAACTCACTACACTACTGAAGACCATAACCATAACATACTCGGTATCATTAACCGCTTCATAAACTCTCAGAGATTTAAATCAAGAGCGAGACTTTACCGAAGAAACAATGAAACATTTCATCGAAGTTTACAATTCCTCAACACATTCTACAACAGGACATACACCAAATTCAATGACACAAACAACAAGAAGAAAAGTATATACAAAAGAAACGAAGTCAAACACAAAATATCAGAAATTCAACACAATTTACTCTCATTCCTGGAACAAAAGTTCGTGTAGTTCTTGACGACAAACCGTTGACAAAGAAACGTTTAAGGTTAAGTCGAAATTATTATATCGTAGACTCTACGCAAGGTAATGGATATCTTATAAAAGCTGCTGACGACTCCATAGCATTTTACCCTCGTCATAAATTAGTCGAAAGTAGTAATGGCAAACTTGCTGAAACCATTGACGAAGCAAAGCGAGGAGTGGTTATTGAAATACTTGACTACAACATAAACGATGACACTTATAAAGTAAGATATGAAGGAGGCGTTGAAGATGTTATACCATCTAAGAACTTGAGAGAATCTAAACCAACTCATCTGGGACCATTAGAGCGGGAGTACTGGAAAGATAAAAACATGCCAGAAAGAATAAGAAAATTCTTCTAAACTTTTTCGTTGGATGTAAATCAGACAAAAATATATTATAGGTGAAGAGGTGAGATTTCACCTGTTTTCTCACCTGTTTTTTCACCTCTTGAATTTTCGTGAATTTTCACAAAAGACCAAAAATAAAGTTAGTTTTATTTTTTTTATTTTTTCATTTTGTATGTAAGAACAGAAATGTCAGTCGAAGCAAAAACATTCACGAACAAATCTAATGGCGAAACATTCACAAAAGGCACTTATAATGGTATTGAAGTCTTACGTAGAGACAAGGATGGTTACATTAATGCAACAAAGATGGCGAGAGAAGCAGGAAAGTTAAACCATTTAAACAGATTTCTCAATAGTGCTAAAATGCAGGAAATCTTGAGTTTTGGTTGAAAGAATACGGTCGAGCAAAAGTGGCTCAACCTCAAAACAAGCATTTTATGAGCTTACTAAGGGCGTTATGAATGAATTCAAAGGTATTTACATACATGCTGACCTCGTTCATTTTGTTGCTGAATGGTGCTCTGTAAAGTATGCATTTATGTCAAAGATATTATGGACTCCATAGACAAGAAAGTTCATGAGAAGTTAGATGAAGAAGAACTCGAAAGATACAGTGGAGAATGCTAAACCTTTGTTCGAAGAAGAAGTTGAAAAAATGTGTGAAAAACAATTAGAACATGAACGTGAGATATATTATGGTTATAGAGATTCTCCATACGAACTAGTCCAATGGGAACAAGAAGATTTAAAGAGAGAATTTAGAGAATATGAACTCGCTAAGATAGCATTTGAAGCTGCAGAAAAGAAGTTAAAAGTTTGGGGTCGTTTTGTACAAAAATATTGTGAGTAAATGAACCATTTATTTTTATTGAATTCACCAAAAAATATAATTTAGGTGAAGAGGTGAGATCTCACCTGTTTTTTCACCTCTTTTTTCACCTCTTGAATTTTCGTGAATTTTCCCGATAGAAAAATAAAGTTAGTTTTATTTTTATTTATTTTTTATTTTGTATAAAAGATATGATTTCAACAATCGCACAACAACAATTCAAGCGCGAACGCGGGACTCTGTCCACAACAACTTCACCAAACTCGTTAGTCATGAATCCAACATCTATGTTAGTAGAGATGGAAAGCTTCATTCCTTCTTCATTTACTTTCGAAACAGAAATACAAAAAATTAAGCAGGAACTTTTAACAAGTAATTTAGACTGTAGTGCGAAAAGATGAAAAATGAACAGTATCTTTATGAAATGGAGGACCTCATCGACCATTTACCTAAACTACCTGAAATTCAGCATCAAAAACTAACTATTCCTGAATTCGACGAAATTGAAGTCAAAGCAACTGACTCAGTAGAAATAAAGAAGTTCATACGTAAAGTAAATTATGAATTCCTTGGTTTTCATTGCAACCATAAATTATGGACAAAGATTGCGATATGGTATATAAGAATGTTTCTGACATATATAAATCTGAAGAATTTAAGACCTACACAAACTTTGTTTCGTTAGTTGCTGAATGTGTTTGGGAAAAAGAGAAAGATAGAAGAGGCAAAGTATGGAACGAACAACTAAGACCCGCTATGTTTGAGATGAAGAGAGCAATTGACGCTTTAGTTGTTTCTAGCAGGTCAAATTTCAATGTATAATGCAAAAATGAACCCACAATGTTCAAAAATGTAAAGCAGCAATAAGGAAATATAAACTACTCCGTCAAAGAGATAGAAAGAATGCGAAACGACTATGCAGACTTAAAGAAAGAAGCAGAAAAGCCAGCAGAAGATAAAATGGACATGTTAGCATTTCTGAACAAAAACTATCCAACAGTAGAAGATTTCCTTCTATCTGACGTCAAAAGAAAATATAAAGAGACTTTCGGCATTGTTTAAAACTTTTGATATCCTCAGCGAAGAAATAGAAGCTACAAAACTGTTTAGGATTTCAAATATACATCGTACAATTCATGTAAAACGCTTAAGAGAGATTTTGCATCTGAAGGACTTGAAGCCAGGAATTGGATAGTCAAACTCTATATGCTCCGATGAAATTCTTCATCTGATATAGTCCTACCAGCGTTTGTAAAGATATAGTCGTAACGGTTTTGTATCTGCTTACTTTTGTTCTTTGTTATTTCAACCAGTGAAGCATTTTATATATGTAAAATATACTGTTTAAAAATGTTTTAAAATGTATGCCATATAGCTTCTTGAATTTGTTAAGAAGTATATTGAACGCATTTTCCATCTGTATCTCTAGGTGTTTACAAAAGCATATGCCTTCCTTAGTAAAAATACTGTAATTTTCTATAGTTTCGCCGGTATAAAAGTAGAAAGAGTTCTTGTCTTCTTCGCTGTAGTAGTAAAATCAAGCGTAGCTTACCATAGTCTGTAATTTCAATTGCTTCATCTTCTAGTTCGTCGACAAATTCGAATACAATATCTCCAATTTTGCTTTTGTTCTTATTGTTTTCAGAACAAGTGACCCAACGTAAGTTTTCAAGTCTATTGTCGTTTCTTATATGGTTTATATGGTCTACAAAAGGTAAATTGTTAGGATTCGGTATAAAATGAGTTGCAATGACAACATGTTTAAAATAGCGTTTCCCACAATCTCATCCTAGCATATCCGTCATTTCGCTCACATTCGCTTAAAACTCTTTTTGTCTTTTTGTTTCTGACTTCAAATGACTCACAACAGTGAATTTCATATTCTTCATCTAACAAACAAGTTTCCCAAACGGTCTTTTCCGACAGACTCAGCGTACATTTCAAATAAAATAAAAAAATATTTTTTTGAAAAAAATGTTTTATTTCATGCAATGTTTTATTTCATGCAATGTTTAACTATTTCACCATCTTCTTTAACACCCCAATATTTCCTTTTCGATATTACATGAACTTCGGAAAATAACCTTGTCTAGCTTAAAACAGCCCATTTTCTCACCAACTAAACCCATTTCAATGAGT